GCATGTAATGGGGAATTCTCCTGAAAGAGTCCATGTAAAAAAATATGCCTGAGGCATGAACTCTGCTTTCTGTCATCCAGAGATAAATTGAGAAGAACTCAAGTGAATGGAAGTAGCTCACATTAAAATCACTGTAATGATAGTAGGAAAAAAAAATCACATAATGCTATCAAAAAACTTTTTTTTTTACTTTTTGACACCCAGAAATATTTTGCTGCTTATTCCATAGTTCCCATTTCTGAAATATAGACTTCACTGTAAGCAATGAGTTCAAAAAAGTGCCTTTGGGGCCTTGCTTAAGTAGGGGCTGCAGATGACTTTTAAGGAACTATAAAATCAGAAGGGCAAATGGTAATGGCCAACTTGCAAAAGAAAGAACAGACACACAAAGACCACCTAAAAGGTAGTGATGGAGGTTTGTTCTGCTATGGATTTGTTACTATATATCTGACTCAGTGTTTCAAAAAATGACAGCATGGTTAAGGTTGGAAGGAATCTCTGGAGGTTGACTTGTGCAACCCAGCCCTGCTCAAGCAGCACCATCTGGACCCAGTTGCCCAGGACGATATCCGGGACCATACCAAGGATAGAGACTCCACCACCTGTCTGGGCAACCTGTGACAGTGCTTGGTCACCCTCACAATGAAATTATTGCAAGCACAGAAATAAGTTCCACCCATATCTTCAAATGATCTCTCAACACAACAATGAGAGTGAAAGAGTTGAAATGATCATTGGCTACCTGAGAAGGAGCACAGCCACGAGAAATGAGAAAATTGCTGTGAGATTTTACCTGGGTACTCTCCCCAGGTCTGGGCCCAATATTGCACAGAAGTATGTAGAAATGTTCCTGAATCAGGAAAAAAACTGGATAGTAGAGCTAATGGTGCCTGTTACACATTGTGTCTGGTCATTGGGTAAACTGATCACTTGCCAGAAAGTGATCTCTTTTCACTGTGGAAGAAAACAGATTAGGAAAACGTTTCCAAAGATTTTTAGTGATGGGGGCAGACTTTGCAGAAGTTTGCAGGTACTCAGAGAGTTTTGGGAAGCTTTTCATGGTGAAATGTCTGGGTGCTGCAGGACACCTACTGAAGTTGGCTCCCTGAAGAAGAGAGGAGGGGGGCCAGAAGGGGGGGTAAGCAGCTGCCTGAGGATGTGTGCCCAAGAGCACTAGCTCTTGGACTTTAACCTTTGTAGTGCCTGATGAAAAACTTTACAGGGAAGAAAGAAATGTTCTGTGTGTTTTCTTCTGTACCACGTTGCCAGAAAGATGACTAACTGAGCTACCTGGCAACTTTTAGGAACTATGAAATGAGTTCATCTGCGATTGTAGTTTTGTGAAGCTGCATTTTCAGGGCACAGATGTTTTGCTTCCACCCATACCATCAAGCAATAAAAATCTGGATGATCAAAAGGTTATATTAAATAAAACCCAAACAAAAAAAGAAACACCCCAGACTTTACCTCTTTTTAGCCTGTGTGCTTTCCCCCTCCCTTAGTGTTGGTTTCTGAGCCTTTAAGATGTAACTGGGTAGATGTAACTCTCAGGAGAGTCCCCAAATTGCAAAAATCCTATTGACTTAAAAGTTTCTTCTGGAGTAGTAGGGCTTGAGATTCTCAAGTGATGCCCTGATTCCAGACATGGGGAATAAATGGAGTACTGAATGGGCTAAATGAAATCCTGTCATACAGGTACGCAGCACTCCTTGTACACATGCATTTGCATGCCCTTTTCCTTGCACATGACTGTTACCAAGTGGAGGTGGCCACGGAAAACCCACAAATTATAGGGGGTTTTGTTTGTTTGTTTGTGGTTTTGTTTGTTATTTGAAAGATCCCTAAATAGGGAAGAGTACTTGAGTTAGCTGTAAGGTCTTCAGAAGTTCTCAGTGTCTCTTCAAAAAGAGAAATCCCATTTTTTAAAATTAAGCTGAGGTTTAGTTAGGATTTGAAGATGTAATCTAGGTATCCAGTGTGGCAATAGTGAATAAGTTCCTGATTCTTTTTAATGGCTTTGTAACAGTAATTGTAAACCATGCTTTGACTACAGTAAATCTTAATGTATGCCAGTAAATAATCTTGATAAATTCGCTTCCTTACGTGCATGAACACAATTTTATATATCGTACTGGCTGCTACTGGCAATATCAGCTAAAAAATCTCAGAAGAGTTAATAATTTAGGACTCACATGAGATGAATTCACTGTATCTGCTGTATTACTGTATTTATATACTGTGTAGTATATTGACACTACACTGCATCTTACTCAAAATTGCATATTAATTTCTTCATTTTTAAGCAGATTGACCTGCAAATTCATAAACTAATGTAACAGATTTCCCTGGAATAACCACAAGGTCTCTGCTTCCTTACAGAAAATGCATAACTGTTACAGGGAACTGTAAAGCTGGGAATGTAGAGCTTGCACTGACTTCCTCTTCTATCAGGGGAGCAGACCCAAACCTTTGCAGAGATATCTTTAAAATAGTCTACATTTCTTTTGACTAATGATTTTTAGTGTTTGAGGGAGGCCTGCAGGTTGGCGTGCCTGAAGAAATTTGTTGCTGTGGTACCCTATTTCTCACTTGACAGCCTTCCCTCTGCCTTTGCATCCTTATTAACTGAGCTGGTCATGCTCTTTGCAGCCTCACTGGTAACAGTGACCCAGAGCTGCAGTGACAAGTGGGAGGAGAGGACCTTATCATGGTGCTGATAATACCCCGGTGTTTCGTAGTGCTCTGCACATTCGCAGAGTCTCTCTGCCCAAGCAAATTTCTTTTCACAACCAAAGACTAATCACCTACTGGGCTTGGAGATTAATTTTATTAACAGGCACGTAATGAATCATTAGCTTTGACTTGTGGCTTGATCTCATGCTACTCCTATTCTCTTATGGCAAGTGGAAACATTTTATAATCAGCAAATGAAGTGAAAATGGGATTTAATAATGAATTATGAAGTATGAAAATCATGTTGTTGTTTAAATAAGTTAATAGTTGGAGGAGGCGTTTTTTTCAAATTGTTTTTTCAAGCTTTATTCTCTCTAGTTTTTAATTTTTTTCTCAGCATTTTAAAATCTCATTTGTTTATTATGCTTGGTGTATAGATTATTAGTTGCTCAGCAGATAATTTACACCTCTAAATTTTACGTTGATAGTACAATTGCAAAAATTTTGTTTGTGCTTTAGGATGTAAAACCAGAAAATAACAATCCTCAGATAGTTCTGTCAAAGCAGAATATTTGAGTGAATGAATCTTCATTTCTGGCTGTGCAGGCATAGTGCTCATTAATGGGAGCAAAGGGAGAGCAACCCACCTAGCAATCCATTAATGGGGCTTTTTAGCCTTTCTGTTTATAAGGAAACATAATGAATGGCCCATTAGGTTAGAAAATTACGCAGAGAGCCATGGTCCTCTGGGTTTTCCCAAAAGAAGGCTAGTAGGGCATCCAGAGAGTCTGCTGACTTGGGCCCTATATGTTAGTCCTAGCAGCTACGGATGGTGGACAGAGGTTTATTGAATTGTCAAACTATGTGGAAGTGGGGAACGTATGTTTTGTCATTTTGTCACAAAAATGCAAATTGTGAGCAGAAGTGGGAATCATCTAAATTAATAGAGAAAAAGAGGCGGGATAGCTGGTGTCTGTTAATATTGAATTTCTTACATTTTATTACAAATGTTTTCTGCACATCTGACAATGATTTGATATGGACTGCAATTATGGCATGAATATGTGCTTTATTTTAATTTGAAATCCATAATGCTGTAACAACAAAGTAGTGGCGGATTTACACATCTGGTTTAATTTTCTGTTGTGAAATAAGATGAGGCTGAGGTTTTTGTTTTAAAGTTTGTAGAGGACTTCTATTTACAAAATCACTGACTTCTTTAAATTCTACCTTTTCATTTCTTTCCCATTGCTCTGTTAATGCCAGTGAAAGCTTGTTGTCCTGTTTGTGTAGGTCTCTAGACATGAGCTCTTCCTACCAGTACTGATGTTGGCAGATCTTTCAGCATGTTGCATAAGGCTTGTGTTCCTTGATAGATGTATTATTGTTTTTAAAACAGTTTGTGCATTAGCAGCCCCTCAGTTGGGTGATAGCAATGTATGAATCTTAGCTCAGTACGTGAGGCCGTTGGTCACCCTGTCAATGTTGGTTGAACAGAAAACATTGCAGGTTTGGCTCTGGGAATGGTGCAGGCCAGGATGTTATTTATTGACAACTACGAGGCATTGGCAGTGACCAGCTCAGTCGCAAAAGTTGCTTCTTAAAATTCTCTTTCTGCACAGGATGAGGGGATATATGATTCTGCTTTTTGTACAAGGTGAGAACATGGAACAGCATCATACCACCTTACAAACCTGAAAATGTTGAGCTTTTAACCAGTGGGGCTTGGCTTTTAAAATAAATGAAAAAATGTCTGTATGAATTTAAATCAGTGAACTGATTGATACTCTTATGATTGTTCTGGAGAATTTTTCTCACATAATGCTGATGAGGTAAAATTTAGTTTAAGCAAAACATCACCTGTCCCTCCCTTTACTGATTTTGCTTATTAGGAGTGAGGAAACTCTTGAGTGTTTTGTTTTTTAAAATTTCTACCATTTTTTTCCTTGCTTATAAAGATGGACAGGCTTCACTAAGTGGCAGTGTTTAGGAGGTCCAAGCTACTGAAGGAAGCAAATTAACATTCAGTATGGTAATTTGTTTTCCCTGTCCTTCAGTCACAGTGAGGAGAGTCTAAATATTTCAGTGACTGAGACTTTGGATTCCCATTCCTTGCTACACAACAACAACAAAAGCTATTTATAGCAATAACAGTTAGCAGCGATACAGCAGCCTCAGACAGCTATGGGCAGCATCTCATCATGACTGCAAATGTTAACTGCTTTTGCACTGAATGCCTCTGTGAAAACAAAGAGCACTGAGAAATAAAGATCAAAGCAAAACCAAAAGAAAGATTTTTTTATTGCTATGTTTTACTTTGCTGGCAGACCAGAGCAAAGGTTTTCTGAACATTTAAAAGATGAAAAAGGTGAAGAATCCCAGAAGCGATTTATCTTGAAGCGAGATAACTCTAGTATTGATAAAGAAGACAATCAGGTTGGTTCTCGGTTCGAGAGTTGCTGAAATTTGTTCTGTTTTTGAAGGTGGGCTGACTGATGTTATTGTTGTTCTTTTGTTGTTGCTCTCCTCCTCCCCTGCCCTCCTGCCCCCTCCCTGCCTCCTTTGGCATACGTACCACCGTGGGTGGCATCAAGCCCCAGCGTGGCCGCTTCAGCCGCTTCAGTGTGGGGTTGCATGGGTGGTTTGCTTGGCGCAGGACTTGCTGCATGCCACGGGAGGGGGAATGCCGGTGGCTCTGGGCTGCGTGGAAGGCTGTGTGAGTCGCATTTCTCAATGTCTTGCCTAACTATGGCAGTTGTTACGCTCCCTATAGCTCCCTCCTTCCATTGTACCCACTCAGTATGGATTTCAGTATGGACCAATGATAAACTGATGTAGCCCATAAAAGAGGAGAGGGAAAACAAACAAACAAACAAACAAAAAGTCCCAAATAAACATGTGATGGTGAGGCTGGGTTGATTTTTTTTTTTAAACCTTCCTAAATTATGTTTTGATCAGCAATAAATCAGGTTCATCTTTTACTTCCCTTACTCCTCCAGTACCTTCACCACCTTTTACTGTCTGTGTAACTTACTTGCTTGTGCATGTACTGTGGCAGACGTTCCCCCTCTGTGTTGCCTGTGCCATAATACTACCTTACCTTAGGTGAGCCTGATGAATAAGGGAGTGCCAGGGAAATGTGTGTGTTTGTGCTGCCTTTAAAAGCGGGTGCTGTGCTGTTTCAATCCAGTGCAAGCTGTGTATGTGGAATATATTAACAAAAAAATAATCTGAAAGGGTTCTGACATGATTTGCTTTTATGAGAAAATTATCACAGGTAAGAAGACAGCATATGCTTTCTTTGCTTAGGTTATATTTGTGGAGGGAACTACCAGTGAGTCTCTTGTTGCCACTTTCCTTCATGTTTTCAGTAAAGGACTGATTTTTCCTTCCTTTTTTTCCTTTTTGCACCTTCTTTTTCCTTGACTTCAGTTTACATAGCAGCCTTGCCAGCTGTGCTGCATCCAAGCTGGTTTTGAAAACAAACCCCAAGCAATTTCAGGGTGTGGTGAACATGGGGATCAGCCAAAGAAAAGCAGCATGACTGATCTGACCAAGTGATGGGTGTGCAGGGGGAGAAGGAGCAGTACTCGAAACCCAATTGCCAATGAAGCATTTCCTGGCAGGGGGTCATTTTCTCTTCTTCCTACCATGGCACAGCCATTGCCCTCACTGTGGTTTACCAAGAGGTACAAATGGCCCTTCTTTACCCAGCAAAACTGAAGTAGAGGATTCCTTACAGTGTGGAAATGGTTGAAACTGTCATCCTGAATATCTGGGACTTCTCCTTGTACACAGAGATTTGTGGGTTTCTTCTAGGGTTTGCAGTTTAGCTCTTGCAGCCTAGTTACCCTCTTTTCTTCCTTGATTTTGTAGGTGGCACACCACTTCTTGCCCTCCTGCTCCTCACAGCTGGTAGGAGAATCCAGAAATGTTAGCAACTGAGAACAATGGCACTTAGACTTGGGGTGTGAACACTCGATTTTAGGATGGCAGGTCCCCAAAAGCTGTGCAGCAAGCCTCATTTTGGCCACCTGCTCAACAAAGCCATATGCAGTATCTAACTGGAAATCCTCAAGTGCCCAGTCTCGCAGGGTGCTTCGTTCAGGAGTGACAGCTATCATTTTTGTGCTTCATTTGTTTAAGTGAACATTTATTATTCTCAGATGACAGTTACTTAATGGCAGTTTTTAACAGCTCAACTTATATAATCCTCCTGGTTTTCTTTCTGCTCAGCAAAACAGAATTCTTCCATTTAGAGATGACAGACGAAGTAAATCAATTGAAGAGAGAGAAGAGGAGTATCAGAGAGTGAGGGAGAGAATATTTGCACAAGATGTGAGTAGTTGTTTTAATTGCCTCTTTAGTGCCATACCTTCGCCCGGTAGTCAGACAGTCTTGCCCCCCTCCTACAACAACACTGCAGTTGGGCTTGCCTTGTGGAGCTGAAGGTGACAGGGAAAGCAGATTAGTGCAGAGGGCCCAAGAGGAATTTAAAAGGTGTGGAGATTGGCTTCTGGAGAATGAGGTGATGAGAGTTGCAGGGAGAAGGGTAGAGGAGGTATCAGGCCCAGCATGTTGTCTGGGGAGTACTTATCCTGTTTCTTTGAATGTTCATTTTGTCTAGGTTTACTTCTTGTTTCCTTCTCTTTTGCTAACCAAAGAGCAGTGATTTAAATGGGCACTCCCAATAATTTCAAATAGCTGTGTTATTTTATATTTCATTTGAAATAAAGTGTCCTTTCACAAAGCCTCCTTATGGTTTTTGTTTCTTCAGACCAGTGCTGTAGGCCAAGACACTGAGAACAAAGAAAAGGCAGAGTTTAAGCATGAAGTTGCACTGTTTTTTTTAAATGACTGATTAAAGAACTGTTTTCTGCCATCAGAAAATTGGACATGCTGTTGATGATTATATTCTGAAAGGAATAAAATGAAACAGACGTCTTAATTCTTGCCCTTACAAAAAAATCAGAACTTGCAAAGCTAGGTAGTTTTCTAGAGGAAAACATTTAAATGTGAAACATCTGTGAGCAATACCTGATGTTCCTGAAAAAAAGAAGAAAATCATAATTTGCTATAATACTGTAATTTTTTTATCTCACATCTTAGTGGCAGTTCTGCCACTTAGAAATATGGGAATAAACCCAATTAAAACTGTTTTTGAAAATCATATTTGGCAGTGTCCTTTTAAATTAAAACTGTTCATATGTTGCAGGGCTAATAGTATTTATTATTTGGATTTGGAATTGCACACATCCATGTTATTTTTCTTTAACAGAATACACTGTATATTTTTAAGGTGTGTGTTGTGTCACTTGTGTTAAGTAATTTTGCTTTTTAGTAAATAGCTAGCTACATCTGTTTTTAGCTTCACTTCTTATTTCTTGACCGAGACAATTCCAGTGAAAGCAGAGGCCCATCAGTTTATGTTTTGCTTTCAGCATGTGGATCTGTCAAAGTCTATACACGATATAGACTTACCAAGTTATTAAAAAGCTGCAAAAGCTTCTTTGCAACCTGTTTCTTATATGAAATTTTGGGAGTTTGACATATTAAAAAGGAGCTTGTGCAAAACCAAAAAATCTTTGTGTTTTGAAGCAGGATTCAGATGAAACAAAATGTTAAAAAAATATGGACAGACATTGCCAAAATAGTGCTGTTTCTATCACAAGCAGCATCTAGAAATGCCAGGCCGAGAAACAGAGGTGTCTGGAAAAGTGTTGTGAAACGGCTCCACAATATATCGCTGCTGTTGTCTTTAGATATTTGAGTTTTAAAAACAGGCAAGCAGTGAGCATTTTAATTGCCCACAGCAGTAGATTGTTGTGGTCCACTGGGTTAGCGTCTTCGAGTGGCAGGACCTAAGTAACGGTGTGGTTTGTGGCAGGCATTTTAAATGGATTGGGAGTGAGCATTTTTAAAGATGAGCAATGTTAGATATCTCTCCCTCTCTCTCTCATATCCACTCATTCGCTCTCTCTCTCTGCAATTGCAGGTGTTAGTGAGCATCATAGTGCAGTTAATTTCAGCAAGCTGTACAATTAATATTATCAGGAATATATTTCTTAGCTAAGCTTTTTTGAGTGGTGCACTCCTTACAGACACAAGGTGTTTTTAGGATGATGTCAGTGGTTGTGGTGGTGGACAATGTTTTTTTCCCCAATTTTAGTAAAGAGAGAAATGGCTTCCTATTATAGATAGTCATTTACTGCACGTATGACTTTGAAGTTTTAATGCCCTCTGCAATCATTAATTAATCCAGTTCTCCCCAGGTTTTTGTGAGGTAGATAGCTAAGCCTTGTCACCCTGTAAATTACAGACATAGAAAGAGAGTCAGGAAAGGATTAATCAAGTGGTATTTTTGTTGCCTCTATACTGTTTTCACTGCTGTAGTCAAGCCTTTATCAGTGCCTTGCTTATGAACCTTAGCAAATGGATTATAGATACTTCACTTTTAATTGGAGTATGCACGAAGAGAGCTTGCATGAAGTCTCCAAAGAGCAGCCATGAAGGTCTAGATTACTGCCATAACTTGTTGCATCGCACACCCCCTCTCTAAACATGTTTGAGGTACCCAAAACTCTTTAGATAACATATCAGCCCAAGAGTCAGAACTTTGAACAAAATTTAGGAGGAAAAGGCAGTCTGGTTACAGGGGCAAAAAATTCTATGCATGTTTCAGTTGCTGTGAAAAATGTCTTAACCTGGACCCCACATACCAACAAAGCTGACTTGTCCTTCCTTTGATCTTGCAGAACTCTCATGCACCAGCTCTCTTCATTTCCAAGTGGGAAGGTTTTAGTAAAATAAATATGTTCATGAGTAATGCCATCATTGTGATAGTCCTTATGATGATTAGTCTGATATTAGTCAGTTTAAATTATACTTTCTGGCAAGTTTTCCATCTGCCCTGTTGGCTATCATAAATTTTGACAAGGAGAGCTGGAGGTTTTAATGAATCCTGTCATAGCAAGGAGTCATAGCAAGTGGCAGGGATTGAGAAGCATGTTAATGTGATACCTTAATAAAAGGATAGGTGAAGAAATAAATAGTTAATAAATCGTTCCAACTCACTGAAATAAGAAATATAAAGTACACCTCAAATTTTTCAGGCTGCTAAGAGTAAGACAGAGCTGCCTGAACTCTGTTATGCTCAAAGCTATTTTCAAGGTTACTTTTTAACTGTAAAGCCTACAACTTTTCTTTTTAAAACATGTTTTTATTGGAAACTTAGTTTTACAACAATTTATGAACTTTACAGCTAAGTGCACTGGAGCAGAGGACCTGGAGTATCTGGGTCTTGCAGAGAGATTTCTTGTCTGAACTGCTTTAGTTACCTTTAGGAAGTTGTAAAGTAATTGTCCAAGAAAGACAAAGAACAACTTAAAGGAGTAAAAAAATTATGTCATGGTATTTCCATGTGTGTAGATTTAACAGAGAATCTCAAATGAGGGCATGAATGATACATGATGTTTGGCTTTTAAGCCTGCAGAAAATTGATTTTAAAGACTAGCAATCAAATTACATGGGGGAAATTTCATTCTTCAAGGTTAAGGCAGTGTATAACCTCATGAGCCAGAATCATGCTAGGAACACTCAGTGTTCATAAATGTATTCTCTGGGAATCATTGTGTAGTCACTGAAAAATGTAGATGTTTTCTTACTTACACAAATGGTAGAATTGCCCATGGTACACATGGAATTTATTAAAGGAAATACACCATGCTTTTTATTTTTTGTTGTTAATTGTAATGGCTATTTTTGACTAAGGAGTGTATTCTAAAGAACCAGATCCTTTAGGTAAAGTAAGTCATGATTCCTCTACTTAAGAAAACAGTGAGAATCTTTATCACAGAAAAAAAAACAAAAAGAAATACTTGAAGAGGTGGCTTCAGCCTGCCCTATCCTTGTAGTGTGAAAAGATTAGGATGAAGAAGGCATAAAATTAATAAAAACAAATCAAAGGCACAGCTGGTTTTGGCTACCATAAACCTGTAGGTACTAAAACTCCTGTACTGCTGTACAGAGCCTTTGTTTATGGCTGCAGATCAAGTAATATTTATTAGTTGGAAGCCTGAGATTTATCACATCTTGTTAACTGACAAGAAAATTATTACCTGATGGTATCCACTGCAGGATATTGCTGCATGTTAATAGTTATCTATGTTGGCTAATGTAATTAAAAACATGAGCAGCAACACCCTGTATACCTAATGCACTGGCAGAACTGATGCACATTTTTCAGTTGAGACTTTAAAGGGTTCTTGGAAATTGGAAAAGTGAAATACTTACTTCATAAATGACAATTAGTCATACAGAGCAACCTAATGGAAATCTTGCATGCAGAGGTCTCCAAGGAGGCTAATTTGTTGGTAATCTTACATAACTTTTTTCTTTTGTAGGTTTGTTGTCAGTGTGTTTGATGGGTATACAAAAGCCAAGTGTTTTAAGGATTTTTTTTTTTTACAACAGCTATGCTGTGTATTTCAGCTTTCCTGGTGCTTTAAATTGAGCATTATTGATACTATAGATCTGGAAAGTGAGTCCTGACCTTGTAGTAACTCAATTGCTATCCAGATCTGCTTAGCCATCTGATTTTTAGCAGTAAGAATAACGTAATAAAAAGGTGCCTGTCTTTTCTGCTTCTCAGCCTCACACCTGTATACTGAAAAATAGTTTCCAGGGACTGTGTAGCCCTTTGCCAGCATCGTCAGCCAGGAAGACAAATGGAGTTATTATGGACTCTGGCTTTAAGTCTACAATGCAGTTGATAGCAGTTCCCATCAAGACACAGAAAAGGAAGCAGACCTTTCCATTTGCTTGATAAAATATAAATCCCAAATATTTATTCTGATTTACACTGCAGTCTCTTTAAAAACTTCAAAAAAATTAAATTAATCTAGACAGGCACATGCCCCTTTGCTTTTGTAACTTTGTGAGTACACAGACCAGTACTCTGAGCAAAGGTTTTTCTGTGAGAGTAGTTGTAATGCTGCTTTGGAATCTGTCTGCAGTGAAGTCAGTGCACGGATGCCCATCATGGCACCTCAAGATGAAGACATGCCCCCGCAGTTGGTGTTGTACAAGCCCATGGGTGATTTCACTATGCTTTTGTGGGTAGTTAGACTGTGCTGAAATCTGCACAACCACATTCGTTAATGAAACCTGTTGAGTAAGGTACATGAAACAAGAGAAGATGCAATGTCGTAGTTGTACGAAGGATCCCAGTGATTTTAGATGAAACAGTTTTTGTCTTCTCTCAGCCTGGGGTGAAACTTTAGGTCTACTGTAGCTGGTGGATTTTGGTCCCTGGCGATGGAGAACTTGCTCCTGGTGCCCTGAGGCTTTGTGCTAAGGAGAGATGCACTTGCCACTGATGCAGCCGAGAGCCTTGCAAGTTTAGCAGGAGTGCAGGGTGGAAGCTTGCCTGGGAAGCCCACGGAGCTGTCAGATGTTCTCTAATGTGGATTCTGGGTGGGTGAATTACAGCTTTAATGAGAAATTGCATTGCCGTCTCAGGGATGAATTCCTTGCTTTTGTAAATTGGCTGTGGTGCCAATGGAAAACTTTGTCCAGGCATCTGCTGGAGCACTAAGAATGAGCAGGGTGTTGCTTCTAGTGTTGGCCAGCACTCTTTTGAGTAGGTCATTTAACTCACCCTTGTCAAAACAAACATCCAAAATCTGTGCATATCCCATACCATTAAAATTTGACACAGCTAATGATGGCATTTCATTATTCTTTGAGCTGAATCCCATTGTTACAGAAGTAATGGGCATGATCTCTGATGCCCTCCTCCCTTTGACTGCCTTTTGTTTAAATTCAGTGCAAGCACTGACTATTCTTTCTTCTGTACCTCATCGAGATATAATCCAGTGACAGCTATGAGGCATTTTGTGTAGTGAACATGAAATAGGAGGGAAATGAAAAAATCAAAGAGGGAGAATTATTCATGGAAAATTGAGTACAGCTTCATTTCTCTGCATAAAAATTAAGTAATGCTAAAAGAATTATACACTTGCCCATAGGATTTACTTATTCTGAGCCCTTCACCTTTTTTGGAATCTAAGTCTTCCAGCAGGGAACCTTTTTGTGATAGACTGTGATTTGTGTTAATATTATTATTAAGAAGGTTATTATCATTTTATATCTCAGTGTTCCCTCTCCAACTGTAAAATGTGAAATCACACACTATTTCTAAGAACTGCAGTAGCTTCTCTCCCTTTGAGGAACTTTGTCAATCCTGCATGTTTTCCTTCTATTTGTCCTTTCTATCTGCAGCTCCGTGCTATTCTGCAGTCTTACTTTGACGTGGTAGGGCAGACCAGTGGAACCTTATATTATGCAGGAAAAATGAGTTTTCCTTTCAACTTGCCAGTATTTTGCACATACTACCTTCTTCAAATCCCACAACTGAGAAGTTTCAGTTTGTTTCCAAACTGAGACCCCTCTTTGGCAATGTGTTGTAATGCATGGAATTTATTTTACTGGCCTGACCTTATTCTTGACCTTTTCTCCCCTCCTGTCTTCTGCAAATGCAAATGATGCATGAATTGAAATCCCCTTAAGCCTGAGCAGAGGAGGTAATTCTAAAATCAAGAAGAAATTGGAACAGCAGAGCATATCTAGAACGTCTGATACAATGCCTTTTTTATTTTTCAGTCAGTTTGCTCCCAGGAAAACCTTTTTGTGGAAAACAGGTAAAAAATAGCTTGTGTGTGTGTGTGTGTGTTAAATTTAGCTGTTTCTCATTTTATCTATCTATAGTTCTATAGTAATTTATCCTAATGTGAAGAATGTTGAGCAAATTTTTAATCCATATTATCTGAAGTGGTTTTATGCTTTAAGAGGGAGTAAAAGAGATTGCCTTGCAATATGATATCTGAGCAGATAAGGTGTTACTATTGCTGCTTTCCTGAGGCTTTGCATTTCAGTTTAAAAAGCAGATTGTGGGAAAGAAGGGGAGCCCACCTAAGCTTTCATTTCAAATGACTATTCTGTCTCTGGGGTGCCTTTAGAATTTAACTTATTGATCTTTAAAAAGCACTCTAGCAGTGACTGGATGATGGTATTTATGAAACATCGGACTTGTGTTTCTGTTGTTTAACCTGCTCTCCTGTGGGGCTGAGCAGCAATGCTGACATTACTTGTTGCTTTTGAAGGCTCTCAAGTTCCCCAAGCTGAATCTGCTTTACTGCTGCAGTGTGGTAATGAGACGGTGATATCTGAGCCCACTGTTACTTAGCATTACTGTGTGATAGTTCTTGTGAATGTTATTTTTATTATGTTAAATCCACTTAAAGGGAAGAATAAACTGTTTTTAAGAATCTATGAAGTATGAAGTGTTGACTCCATAACAGCCATAAGTTGCTTAACTGTGTTAAAAATCTTAAAAACTGTGCTACCATAAGGATTTTAACCAAAACTGGGAATTTCACTGGTGAGTGTTTGGGCAGTGCTGGCCTGAGTCTGTCCTGTGAAGGTTTTAGAACTCTTTACCACTCCCTTGAAGAAGGGGAAGCTATCTGTCATAGTATTTTGTTCTCTGTCCATCCTTACACCTGTCAGATGTTCCCATAAAAATTGACTTCACAGTAATGGTACAAACCAGCTTTTCTGATGGACAGTTCTGTAAGTGGAATGAGGGAGGGCTCTCAGGAGATCATAGGCACTGTTATCTAACCACCTTATATTCTGAGAGCCAAGGATATTTTCTCAGCTGATTCTTCTGTGTTGTGACTATGGAGATATGTTTTATGAAAAAAAATAAAAATTACAACAGAGGAACCCAAAAAGCAAAAAAACAGATGCTACCATAAACCTATTTTTCCCCTCTCAGGAAAGATTTGGACAACAAACATGACACAGTTGTTCACATTTCAGGTCAGCATGAAAAGCCCTCAGAGGCTGTGCTGCTGAGGGTAGGGTGGGTACCTATATGGGATAAACCATGAACTCCATAGCCAGGCCTCCCCTGTGTAGGAGAATGTGGCCAGTTTTGGTATTTACACGTGGTTTGCTGTGCTCAAACCCATGAGCTGACTGACCTGCTTTCTTGGTGTGAGAATGCATACCCAAGTGGAGACCAGTAAAAGGCCAGGTTGCAAACTGTACTGCCTGAACTGTTGCTGTCCTGATGGAGGCTTCAGCTGTGTTCCTAAGAACACTGCTTTTTCTTGCTTCATGCCCTACAGCCTTTGATCAGGTGAAGCACTTGAACCTGTACTGGGCTCCGCACACATGAGCAATCCTGTTGATTTGCTGTGTTGAAAGTTAGGTATGGGTTTAAGTGCTTTGCCTTTCTTTTTTGTCAGAGAACCTGAGCATTTCTCTGAGCTGCAGAGACTTCCAAGCGACTTAGCAAGTACTTAAAATCACATATGCAGTATTTTGCTGGCTTGCATTTTTATGTTCTTATTAAGTGATATTTTTTATGAATTTTCCTTTGGATGTGGATATATGGTTCCTTGGCTTCTGAGAATTACCTTGCTTGCTAACAGGAAATGCTAAATGGCCTTCAGCCTCCCTAGCTGATGTTTCTTACGTTCAGTTGACTGTGCTCAGTTATGGGCGAGGGAGGAGGGGGGAATTTTAGCCTTGTTTTTTTAAACTGAATCTAACACAAGTTGGAAGATGTTTCTAGAAATCTAATCTATGTTTTTCAGATCAGATAAATTTGAATTACCATGTTTGTTAGCATAATCTTTTTTTTCATTTTTCAGTAGGCTGTTGGAAGACAGTAGCATATGCAATGATACCCATAAGAAAAGACAGCTGTTTAGGTTTGTATGAATTTATTTAATATTCATTTCCCAGTAACTTTTACTTGTGATTCTATCTGTGTCCTTGCCAAGGGAAACCTTGACAGGTCTGGATATGTCATTTTTCTGGTTGGAAAGGAACATGGAGAATGCGTTCTATCTCACTCATCCCAGGCTCTCTGAATACAAAGGTAACAAGAGGTCCCTTTCCTTTGGTTTTATGGATCACTGTCTCAGGAACCATAGGAGATTTCCAGGTGCCCAGCTGCTCAGACTGCCGCAATTTGGAAGTGACTGTAACTGGTGGAATCTCATTTTTGCTGGAGTGTATACAACAGGCTCATTTCATAGACTAGTGCCCAGACTGACCTTTTTTCCTTTTATTGGTTTATTAAAAGCTGAAATAATAGTCCATTGAGGTGAAACTGATTGAAGTTCCATTAGCCAAAGCAGCTATATTTTGAAACTTTTTCTCTGTGAACTTTGTCTTCCCAGCTCCAATTCCTTCTGCCCAGAGAACATTCAGATGTATCCTATATCCCAAATAGCATCCCAAGGATATCAGTAAGAGTCAGTCCCTATTTTCATGGAGGACATTTTTACCACTTGACACACTGGATCAGTAGAAGACCCAGTCTGGTTGTGGTAGTGTTCTTCTGTGGATCTTAGGAAGATTGTCTTCCCCCATCATGAGCTCTCACAGATTCAGTTCAGATCAACCAGAGTTGAGCATGCCAAGTTGCTTTAGATGTCAGTCAGCTGCCACAAGTCTTAAGCAGAGCAGGCAGAGGGAATATGTGCTTTCAGAAGCATGTCCTTCATCCACTAAGGGACAGGGAGAGCTCTACAGAAATAGGGTGATCACTAGATGTCTTTATGCATTGGGGTTTTCATATGTAGGAGTGACAGCTTGTGTCACTTCAAACCTATATTTATATTTATTTATAATACATAAATTTTCACTATGAGAAGAAAAGGAATATTTGATGTACAGTTGCTAACCCTGCATGTTATCACAGCAGCCACAGAGGAGATGGAGAGATTGGACCAAATAAGGAACAGTGCTGGAGCATCTGCTTCTGCATCCCATGACCACAGGCAGCAGGCAAAAAAACATTTCTTCTTTCTTTGGGTTAGGCTTAATGATCTGAGAGTCAGGGAGCAGGCATGCAGGAGTAAGGAGGCATCTACACAGAGACACTCTTAATGAGTAATATCTGTTTGGGTTTGGGAAACTAAAAGAAATTTTGTGTAACCAAAAACCACAGAATACAAAAGCATTCCTTTTCCTCTTTTCCACTAGAATATAAATATAAGAGACTTGTTAATTTCTGAGCACAAGAGTACAAAAGAGTCTTTAAATAATATACTTTGGTATCTTTCTTTCCAATTAAATCTTAGGATGATTTATTTTCAAAATATTTTTTGGTTTTTTTGTGTTGTTGCTTCTGTGCTGTTTCTCTTCATGACTTCCCACAGTCTGGATCTAGCAAAGGTCAACACATTTATACTGCTGATCACATCTGTGAGAGGTTTGGTTCACAGGCAAGGAGTGCAACAGCCTGATCCTACCTTTGACACGCTGCTCCTTCATGTCCCAAGTGACACAGCCCAGCAGGTTCTCCAAATAAAAACCAGGAGCTATGTTCACAGGGACAAAGGGGGCAAAAAAAAAATAGATACCGTCCCATCATTTTTGATTTGTAGAAAGAGCTTTGAACCTGTAAGTTATCATACTGTAAAATAAGACAGAGGGGTGGAAAATGTCTTCTAAAAGACTTCCAAAGACAGTGTTACGAGCATCACTTGGGATAACAGTCATGGTGCACTAAGCTGTTATAGCATTCTGGTTTTGTCATTTTAGCAGTACAGTGTAAAAGCTCACCATAAATAAGCCAAATTCTCCTCCAAATTCTGGTCACAGTTTAGTGTGTTGTTACACTGGGTGCTCTGCAACTGTTCGAGGACAGACAACCTCTGCCCAGAGATTCTCACAACTGTATACAGAGGGGAAATAAACCAACTCATGCATCTCTAGGTGGAGCGTTAGCAGTGAAGAGTTCGGGGTCACATTGAGAGGACACATGTTTAGGGAAGCATTGGATGACTTCACAAAACTGATGACTGGAAGCAAGGTGCAATAAAAATAAGGAGGATGGGTATGAAGACAAAGGTAGAGGGCAGGTGAAGTTGGTGAGAAAAACATCACAGGAGATGCACAGAAAAGTGAGAAGTAGTGAGGGCTTTGCTGAGGGAAGACAACAGAAATGCTACATCAGTGCTGCCTGATAGTACTATGTCAGCCACATCTGGTGAAGTGCTCTCAGGGAATGTGCAGAAGGGGAACGGTGGTAAGTACTGTGCATATAAAAAAGGTATAGCGGTGTTTACATGCTGAAGACAGATGAGTATGGGGGTCAAATCCCCTGTTTCAAACATGATTTCATAAATGCAGAGTAGTATTTCCTTTTTCTTTATTTAGGTCGCTGCAGGGTACCCAGCGATAAACTCTGCTGTGACATGGTTTTATTTGTGTGTAAGTCTTTGTTTCCTGATGTCTGTAGGGGTAATAGAGACAGCATCGGGAAGACATCTGGCAGTCGACAGAGCAGTACAGAGAATGAATTAAAGTGGACAGACCACCAGAGGCCATGGAGCAGCACAGACTCGGACAGCTCAAATCGAAATTTGAAGCCAGCCATAACAAAGACAGCCAGCTTTGGTGGGATAACCGTCCTGACAAGAGGAGATAGCTCATCAAGTAACAGAAGTACCGGCAAACTGTCTAAAACAGGTAGCTAGTACTGTATTGGGTTCACAGTGCTTCCTGTTATGTGATAATAAATGGCTGTACTGGTACTTGTCTGAGTACAGTATATCACAGAATGGTTTGGGTTGGAAGGGACCTTCAGAGAGCATGTAGTCTCACCCCTATGGTTGAAGTAGGTGGTGAAATACATAAACAGCTGTATTTCCTGTACATGGGAGATGTGTATGTCCATCTATAGATGCTAGTATCTGGGTACCTGGTATTGACTTTTTAGGAATCAAGAAAAAAGCATGGTGCCCGAGGTTTGCAAATCATAGGAGAGGTAGGCTTTTCTTGGAGTACAGTATGTGCACACCCTGTTGGAACACCATCTGCACTTGTAGCAAGAAAAGGTGGCAATCCTTTCAGAGAAAACACAGATTTTAACTTTTTATTAATCTTAATATTTTTAAGTTTTGAATAGTTAAATGTCATATATTTGATGAGAAATCCAAGAATATTTTGTTGTCCTTGCTAAAATGCAGACCATGTGTATCTTGGAGAACAACCTTGCCTTGCTGCTGGCAGATGGGGCTATGGTGGAAGCAGGCAGAAGTGGCGGATTCACAGAGGTCCCACAATCTCTCCATTTCTTTGTTTAGTTCCCATTAAATGAAAGCACCATTTAAGCAGACTATGAACCGGTGGGAATTCTGCATTTATTTGCATTAACTTTACGAGTACATTAACATATGAGTGAGTCACAGGGTCTGGATCTAAGTAATTTCAAGCTATGCCATTAAGCTACTCATTATACTTTAGTGTAAAAGTGCATAATAAATAATGAACCTATCAGATGATTCCATCAGATTGGTTCATTTGATACATATAGTACAGGACAAGTGGTAATCAATACTTAGCACTTAGTGCTCTTTCAGCTTGAGAGTGTTTTATGGACAGTACTTAATTTACACCCAGTTTATCAAACCTGAGTTGGTCAGATTTCACTCTGTGGTCCTACTGGCCACACTATTTCTGATACAAACCAGGATGCCATTGGCCTTCTTAGCCACCTGGACACACTGCTGGCTCATATCCAGCCAACTGTTGACCAACACCCTCAGGTCCTTTTCCACCAGGCAGCTTTCTGACCACTCTTTCCCAAGCCTGTAGTACTGCCTGGGATTGTTGTGACACAAGTGCAGGACATGGCTCTTGGTCTCATTCAACCTCATAAAATTAACCTCGGCCCATTGATCCAACCTGTCCAGGTTCCTCTGCAGAACCTTTCTACCCTCTAGCACTTCAACACTCTCTCCCATCTTGGTGTCATCTGCAAGCTTCTTGAGAGTGCACTTGATCCCCTTGTCCAGATCATGGATAAAGATATTAAAAGGACTGGCTGCAATACTGAACCCTGGGGAACAGCACTTGTGACCAGCTGCCAACTGGATGCAACTCCATTCTCCCCTACTCTGGACCTGGCCATCAACCAGGGTGAAAAGTGCAACCATCCAGGCCATGAGCAGCCAGTTTTTTCCCGGAGGGTGCTATGACATTAAAGGCTTTAGTAAAGTCCAGGTGTACAACACCCATAGCCTTTCCCTCATCCACTAAGTGGGTCACCTTGTCATTGAAGGAGAATAAGTTGGTCAAGAAGGACTTGCCTTTCATAGACCCATATTGGTTTGGCCTGATCCCCTGGTTGTCCTGTACATGCCGTATAATGGCATCGAAGATGATCTGCTCCGTAGGTTTTCTCACACCAAGGTCAGACTGACAGGCCTTTAGTTCCCCAGATCCTCCTTCAGGCCTTTCTTGTAGATGGGCATCACATTTGCTAACTTCCACTCAACTGAGATGTCTCCAGTGAGTCAGGACTGCTGATAAATCATGAAAAGTGGCTCAGTGAGCACTTCCACTCGCTCCCTCAGAACCTTTGGATGGATCTCATCTGACCTCATAGACTTGTGCGTGTCTGAGTGGTGTAGCAGATCACTTACTATTTCCCCTTGGATTATGGGGGCTTCGTTCTGCTCCCTGTCCCTGTCCTGCAGCTCTGGGGACCAGATACCCAGAAAACAGCTGCTCTGGATATTGAAGGCTGAGGCAAAGAAGGCATTAAGTACCTCAACCTTTTCCTCAGCCTTTGTCACTTTGTTTCTCCCCAAATCCCATAAACGATGGAGATTATCTTTAGCCTTCCTTTTTTTGCTAATGTGTTTTCAAAAACATTCTTTGTTGTCTTTTACAGTAGTACCCAGATTAAATTCTAGTTGAGCTTTCGCCCTTCTGATTTTCTGCCTTCATAATCTCACATTAGCCTTGTAGCCCTCCTGATTAGACTTCCCCTTGTTCAAAGGTCATAACTCTTTTTTTCCTGAGTTCCAGCCAAAGCTCTCCGTTGAGCCAAGCTGGCTGTCTTCCATGCCAGCTTGTTGTTTGGCACATGGTTACAACCTGCTCCTGTGCCTTTAAAATTTTCTTCTTGCAGAATGTCCAGCCCTCCTGGACCCCTTTGCCCCTCAGGACTGCCTTCCAGGGGACTCTGTCAATCAGTTTCATAAACAGGCCGAAATGTCCCTCTGTAAGTCCAAGATAGTTGTTTTCTCCCCCCACCACTACCCCGTTACTTCTCTGAGAGTTGAAAACTGTCTTTTTTTAGTCACTGTGCCCAAGATGGGCCCCAACAAGGCAGCAGATGACCCCAAGAAGTGAGTCTGATCAGCATATTGGGCCTTCTGTTCCCTTCAGAAGGGAGTCTAGTATGACCATGACCCATCCTTTTTAATTTATGGAAGCGTATTGGATGCAGAGCATAGTCTGAATTAACCTCCATCCAGAGGAACTGCCATCCTTGCTATTGTTTGATTCTACTTGCAGAGCCTCACATCTGTTATCCCAGGGCACCTGGGACAGGGGGGTAATGACAGAGGAGACCTACCTGCAGTGCTGGGCAGGAACTTGTCACCATTGCCCCCTGTCCCTTCAGTCAGTGTGTTCAGCCGAGCAGATGGAGGACAGAATCCTTCATATCATGCATTCTGTCTCCTTATGGGAACTACCCCAGGGAAGACAGTGTGCAATTCCAGTGTGTATGTAGTTGTGAAACTACGTTCTTGTGTATTTTTTGTTTGAATGTAGACTGAATAGACTATACAGTGGGGCTTGAAGTATGCAGCAGACCATGGTTTTACCTCCACGTTTCTTTGACACCTGTGAATCTTTCCATTGCACTAGAATTGAATTTAATGTGCGTTGAATTAGGGAGGAGGCAGAGGTCCCTGCTATACTTTTTTTGTATCATTCACCTTCAGTAGAGTGCAGGTAAATGTATTTCTCTGCGGCATTGTGTTGCAGAGGTGAAGAGCATTTAAAATGATGTCAGGGAAATCCAGTTTGAAGGAGACCTCTAATTACAAGAATAATATTTTTAAGTAGCCATTTTAATGTTAAGCATAATAAAGGATGCACTTAGGAAATGTATTAGAGGAGAGACTTCTGAAGCATGCCAATACTTGTAAAAGCATCTGCACTCTGTATGCACCAAACCCCAAATTGCTTTCAAATGAAAGCTCTTATAATACATTTTTAAAACATCAGTGATATTAAAATTTCATGTTCTCTTGTAAGTGCTTTGACTTTTTGTAAGGAAGGTGTTTAAATTGGAAAGCTAGTTCAGGCACAGGAAGAGTAAAAAAGAAACAAAATAAAAAGAGGCGGGGAAGAAGAGGAAGACTGGATGTCAAAACAGATGTGTATCTTCAAAGCCAGGACACAAACAGTCAATCAGCCTGAGAAAAGTCATAGGAAATAATATCCAAATCACTATTTCTGTCCTTCTTTCTGATATGCTATTGAATGGCATTAAAGCAGAAAAGAATGACTGTTCCAAAAATAATAGGGAAATGTGTCTTGATACAGTGTTTTCACTTCACCAAAAAAATGCTGAGTGCATTCATACAATAGCTGTCAACGCCTCTATGAGCTATTTGCATTTGTTTTCTAAGGTGCATTAGGTACCAAGTGACACTTCATTGTGCATGTTTTTGCATTATATCTTCTGTGCTCTAACCATAGGTAGCCCTGGTTTTCTGTAGCTCAGTGGACATTTAAATGTTGATCCTGTTTTTATTTTGAGTGATCTTGATTATTTTTTTTTGTTGTCTTTACTACAGTGGTTGAAATGGAATTTCAGAGCTGTTGCTACAAACATTACACACACCGCTCTGGTAGCGCCTGATAGGCACCAATTCTGTCTCAGTTCTCCTCTACAGAAAATACTAGTCTGTTCTCTGAAGGGGTTTATGATTCACAGTAATAAATTTAAAACATTTCTGTCTTGCATATAGTAGATATGAAAGTGGTATGAAGTCATTAGTTGGTCAAAATGTTCTTCATTGTCTAAATTATAGAAATTATTTGTGGCCTCTTTAAATGTGAAAATTATTCTATATATGTGACAGTCTTACAGAAGCATTGTTAAACACTCTTCTTGAGCATAGAGTATTAAAAGTTTCAGAATTTTCAAAGAAGGCTCACAATTGCCTTTGAGAGTGTATACAGTAATGCAATATTAGTATTGAAGTCCTTCTGGATCACTTTTAATATTGTCATCAAAATTAAATGTTCTGCCCTTAACCTTAACTTCTGATAAATCAGTAATTAATAATACATAGTAAGCAAGCAGGAACTGAAGCACAGGAAGATGTTAGCTTCCCCCTAGGCAAGAGATCATAGAACATGCTGTTCTCTGCAGTAGAGTCCAGCAGTGTCAATTAGTCTTAGACTTTAATTGCATTCAGCTGCACAGGAATTAGGGCTTAGTATAGGAATTATGTTACTTCGTTTTTGCAAACTTCACAAAAGGGGCTGTTTGAAACCCATAACATGGTTATCTTAATGCTTCTGATGGTTGTTTTCATGCACCTGTTGATTGTTTAGAGAACCTTGTTCTACTGAAAAGCACAGATTGTATTTTGCAAATAAAATTTTCTTCTCTGTTATTCTGAAGCGTAGTAGATATGCAGAGATGTGTTAAACTATAGTTCAATATTGAGTGGGGAGTTAATAACTTAACAAATTTCAATCAAGTTGTATTCCTACTGCTTAAGACATCATACAAAATGTTGGTTGGTTTAGATTTCCAGGAATATAGTGGACTTTCCAGGGTTGACTAAGCATATAAAGTGGTAAGTGAAATAGTTGTCCATGCAGGGGGACAAAGATGTACCTATTCAGTCTGTAACACCAAAGAAGTGAAAATATAACACATCAACTACCATGTTACTGTCACTGACACATTGCCACAGGTTTTAACATAGATTATTGTGAGGGAAGACAAGATGTGCTTCAAAGAAATGTTCTCTGTGTATCTACATACTTATTTAAATAATTGTTAAATAGGAGATGTAACTGTTGCACCTTTAGCTTCTCTTAATGTGGTTTCCATTCAGTGGAATGCACATCTGTTGGAGTGTATTTTTCCCCCTCATTTACAAAAAGCTGGCTTGGGATATTAGCCGTGTTGATACAGGTCTGTAGGGATCATTAACTTCCTTGGCAGGGCTCCAAGTAATTGGAGACACAGTCTAATCTCTCCTGTTAGGTGTTCGTTGCTACTCCTGTTGGGGAAAGACAATTATATGTAGGCATTTCAATACATTAACCTTCCTGGGTTTGGTTTGTCTGGTTTTTTTTGGTCGTTTGGGGTTTTTGGGGGGGTTTTGTTTGTTTGGGTGGTTGGGTTTTTTTATATAAAGTGTCCTGTGTAATATATTTTTTCCTCTCAGTTTTGGAACTAGATTTCTGCTTTTTTATTATCAGGCACTAGCCTGATGGATCTGGTAAGTCCAACAGAAACTGTCAGAATACTGATGTATGTGTCAGACTTACTGATGATAAGTCACGAGCCAACTGCTTCCAGTCATAATCTTCCCACCAACTGATTGTGCTGAAACATCAGTTTTATTTTTAGAAGTGCAGCTTGCAGAGAAATAATCATGTTCACATGAGCATGTACCATTATCATAAAAAAAACCCCAACAACCAAGTATGTGGGTGTACAGAGAAACACAAGTGAATTACAGAAATAACAAATAAATATTTCTAATCCAAGTAACTATATCCAAGACAAAAATACTTCCAGCACTCTACTGTTCCTGAAAAAAATAACTGTCTGGACTAAGTAGTGGATAGATCTTGAGAGTCTAGTTGATAGGAAAGGAAAAAATTGCCTTGGACTTGGAAGGTGGAATGAGCAGAGATGTTCAAAGTGATCAGATACTGAATGCTGACTGAAATAAAATAGAGCAAGACATGTTGCATCACTCACTAGTGCTTAGAATATTGGTACTGCCATATTGGTACTGCCATGCTCTCTCCCTCTGTAAACCCTCTTTTACAACTCTTTGAACTGCTGTATCTCTCAGAATACTTAAAAAATATATTAATCAAAAGTGATGAGAATGTGAAGGTTATTATTATGTCAACTGTGAAGCAGCAAGAAAATTATAGAATAATCTAGAAGAAGTATGCATCATTACATACTGAAAAAAAAGAGGTTGTATTGTGTAATGGGGACAAAAATCTCATTTAGACCAAGTTCCTTTCAAAAATCTTTAGCAAGACATCTCTTAATGTGAGTCTGAGTAAAGTCAGATAGTTCTATTTTTTTTCCCTTTTCTACAGTACTGAATTCATTATGTGGTGACTTCTTAGTCCAGATTTAGACAGCATGAAAACAGCCAATCAGAGCTACAAAGACAAGATTAAGTGGTGTTAATTTCCAGACATTAGTGTTGGAATTTACATTTACTTGTGTTGATAGATCTAGACTTAAGATGATAGGAAATAAGTTATGGTGATGGAAAAAAATAAAGTAGATCATTCTTGTACAGGATAAATGGGGGCAAAATTGATAAAGCAGTGATTTCTGGGATTTTTTTTTTCCAAACAGTCAGAAAATTCTTGATATGGTTTGTGGCTTATTTGTGTTTTTTCAAAATCACTGAGTTGATCTACTGACATGGGAGAGCAGATCTCAGGTCTTTTATGGCAGACATTTCAAAGCTGTCAGCTTGACCAGTATGAGGTGATAGCTTCAGAGGATTTTCCACTGTTTCTGCGTATCATTTGATAAGTGCATCTGAATTCATTGCAGTCCTCTGGCTTTTATCATTCAGAAGCTGGTATAGATCAGTCCGTGATTCTGGCATATAAATAGCTGAGAGGGGTGGAAAAAATAACAATTGAATATCAGAGCTGCAGTCTTCTTTTATGCTAACAGCCTTTCTTTTGAATAGCACAAAAAGTGGGGAGAGTGAACTCGGGCTTGATTCTACTTACACACTTAGAAATAATGGGAGGTTTATGAAATCTCATCACCACTGCCATCTCCAGGTAGCTTTCTAACCTATTGAATTCAAAAAGTGAAGGAAAAGAGGAGAAAGTAAAGCAAGAACTCAAAGAACCAACATGAAGTGCATGTAGAAAGGCTAGGGAAATACAGGGAAGAACTTGGTAACTTATGTAGGAGGAAAATTAAATTCCAGCCATTGCTTTTACAATTTCAAGGAAGACACCAAATACCCAAATACTACTTGCAGCTTGATGAGGATGGCCTCCAGAAATAACTCTGCAATTTGTAGAAATACTGAAATCTGAAATTACCCAATAAATAAAACTATACCTACAGGAATAACATGTCTAAATTTCCAATCTCAGTCTACGAGGAGGGGAAAAATGTAGCAACTAATACAACTTTGAAGTGTATTTATAGAAATTAAAAATTTCTTCTGAAATCTCTGTAACTTTCTTGGTTATGTACTGGAGAAGCAGATTTAGGGTCCTGCTGATGACAGTACAAGAGTTCACAAAGGGGACTGATTGTATCTGTAGTAGCTTCTGTATGAATACAAAGTTTGAAGAAGATGGATAAAAAATGTGTCTTACACAGCAACCTACAGAAATCTGTGAAAAGACCCTCTGTTAAGTAACAGGATGCTAGTATGATTTCTTCAGGAGAAAACTGCTTTGCTCTAATTTCTATAATATGAGGAAATAAACGAATTTCAATAGGGATTTGACTGAAAATTAATTTGAGGCTCTAAGCAGTCTACTGCAGGGACCACCTACAGTATCCCATATCTGAAAGGATGTAATTTGGGCTTGAAGAAGTTTGCGAAAACTGAAGTCTGAGTTCTGTCTTTGCTTTTAGTATATACCTACAGGTGGGCACTATGAAGGTTAGATGAATAGACAGTGCACAGAAGTAAAATAAAAGAAGTTGCAATTAAAACATACTTTGCATTCATAACATCCTGCTTTCAGGAAGCCAGTCACCTGAGCCCTATGCTCTCAGAGATTCTTGTCTTTTTTATGTGAAGCAAATTGAAATCTAATCAAGTAGTATCTCAGAAGTTTGGAAATTATATTTGGGTTTTAAAATACTATATCTCCATTCTTCCAGGCACAAATGTGGTTTAGCACATTTGATTTTACAGAATCACAGAATATGCCCAGTTGGAAAGGACTCACAAGGATCATCGAGTCCAACTCCTGGCCCTGCACAGGACCATCCCCAGGAGTCACACCAGGTGCCTGAGAGTATCGTGCAAATGCTTCTTGAACTCTCTCGGGTTTGGTGCTGTGACCACTGCCCTGGGCAGCCTCTTCCGGTGCCCAACCACCCTCTGGGTGAAGAACCTTCTTCTAATATCCAACGTAAACCTCCCCTCACACAACTTCAGGCCATTACCTCGGGTCCTGTCCCTGGTCACCACGGAGAAGAGATCAGTGCCTGCCCCTCCTCTTCCCCTCATGAGGAAGTTGTAGACTGCAATGATGTCTCTCCCCTCAGTCTCCTCTTCTCCAGGCTGAACAGACTAAGTGACCTCAGCTGATCGTCATACGGCTTCCCCTCAGGGCCCTTCACCATCTTCGTTGCCCTCCTTTGGATGCTCTCTAATAGTTCAATTTTAATAGGTTAGGTGCTGACAAATCAAAGTGGCAAAAATCTTAGGTGGCATCTTAGGCAGCTTTAAATTAATATGTGTGTTGCCCAGCTACCTTGTTATTTGACTGATAACACAGTTGTTTTTCTTACAGAAAATGTTTAGGGTTTTTTGTGTTATGATTATAGGGTTTTTTTAATTTATTTATGAACTCTATGTTTAGTCTTTACACCTTATGAACTGATACTTTTGCATTATAAATACGTGCTGAGCATTTTGTGTTGTCTTTGGTAAGTCTGTTTACTGTCTGGGAGGAAGCAGGTTTTGTGGGAGGAAAGCGGTTTTTTAAGTTGTAAAAATTACCACTGGATACTGGTCTCAGTAGAGAGTGAAAACCCTGCTCCTAGCAGGGCATGGAGTGATGCATACCTCTGCAGTCTGTGAAGGCTCTCCTCATGTACATACCCTATTTGATGGGGACTGGGGTCCCTTGTAACCCCCTCTCCTGCTGTGATTGTGTCTCCCTGTTAGGCTCAGAGTCTTCCAGCAGTGCTGGCTCCTCAGGATCACTGTCACGAATACATCAGCCTCTCCAAAGTGCATCTCTTGTCCCTGGGGTAACAGTCAGCTCTACAGGCAGTGTGTCCTACCCTGAGAGCGGGATGAGTGGCCAGGTGGCCCCCAGCAACACCAGCTATATCATTCTTCCACTTGAAGCTGCAGGGATACCGCCTGGAAGTATCCTTCTCAACCCACACACAGGTCAGTATGATTCTCTCCTACCTGATACTGCCCATTGGTGCTTCTCATGTCAGCTGGGGAATTACCAAATTTCTTGTTTCTAGACATATTTTCCTGGGGGCATTTTATGAGCAAATATACATACAAATGACCTTTTGCAAGTTGTCTTTTTCAAATCTGCTGGCAAAGTTAGATTGGCTTTCTGAGGCTATTGTGGCATAGCTGGTGGGAAGTGATACAAAACACACTTGCTTCATCCCAGACAGGATATTCATCATTCAGAAGTCCTGGCACTCCTTGGTTGTGAATCTTCTGAGATACCATTAGCATCAATAAAGACAGATGCTTTTCTATATTGAGCATGCTGAGATACAGTGCAGTCGAAATACATCGTCAAATGTCAGCAGAATTTCAAAAGGCTTAAAGACTGCATTTGAATTTGCACTTCAGAATTAATCTTGTTATGTGAGCTGCATGATTAGCAATTGTATTTAAACTGTGAGTTTCGTGATAAGACAAAGCTGTAACTGTTCAATTCCTGGTAGTTAGCAGCACCACAGTGCACAAACAAGGTGCTTGCAGGCACCCAAGTGCTGTGGATGCTTTGGAAACTGCTCAGTTTGAACTTGAGTGTTTGCTGAAAGTTTAAGGCAATTTCTTAACCGCCTTGGTCTAGATGAAGTCCAGGTTATATTACACTATTACTCCCTACAGTATTGTACTGTCAGTATTAAAAAGGTTCTGGGAGTTTGAGACTGTGATGTTTTTTCAGTGATTTGAACCGTTTCAGTGACCATGACTAGCTGTGCTGTCAACCTTAGCTGAGTTATGCTAGGTTTAAAGCAACAAAGCCTATGGTGAAATGTATCTTCCATTATATGAGAACTGAGGATTGAACTCAAAAATATTTTTTCAAAGTCCTTGATAGAGCATCCAGGAGCTTTTTCTTTGGGGATTTTTGTTTATTACTAGTATTTTATGTGTATTACATTTCTGTGTTTCAGTATTTCAGTGCAAATACCTAAAACTTATTTGTGAGTCCACTACTATGAATACTTTGCTTCGGTCATAGTTTGGTCAAGAAAGTTGCAGCATTTAAGAAAAACACAGCCTTGGTAAACTGTTGAGCCAATCTTTCCACAGATACTCAGAGATAGTAGTATCTGGGGCTGATCAATGTATATCAGCATATTTAAAATCAGGGAGCATTTCTTGTTTAGATTGAAATGTGAGAAGTTCTTTCCAGAGAGGTGACTTAGTAACTTACACAGACCTTTCACTTTTCTGAAGCCTTTACTGCTTAAATGTACTTTTTTCCAAGCTATTGCACTATTGACATGAGAGCCTGATACTGTTGGCAAGAAAAAAATCTGTCAATATGTTCATCTGCTCATTTCTGTTGTTCCCATAGTTTTCAGTTCTGTCTGCAACACTGAAATTTCTTGGTCAATACAGAAGACAGCATTTTGTGTGCTGTGGGGTCCACTTCCATGCAAAACTCAGCAGGCCTAGACAGGACTCATCCATAATTCAGGTGACAGGACTGAGAAACAAATGAAAGGAATTGCTGCTGCTTGGAGATTGTGCTTGTTCCTGGCCATGGTAAGGACAGAGACTGGAGGTCACCACACTTGAAAGCCGGAAGAGCAGTTTAAGAGGAACATCTTAAATTGACAAAATTGACATCCTGCGTCTGTTTTGTCAATTTAGCAATTTGCAGCAGCTAGTTCATATTTTTCCCTGGTACCTGGGGAGTCTTTTTTTCTGCTGTAGGTAGAATGCCTTTCAATACTGTCACTAGACTAGAGCACCTCATCTTCCTTCCGAGTGTGCCTCGTTGTCTGCAGAGACATCACTGGGAGCCCCATATGTGTTAAGGGAGCAAGTATTTTTACGTGTATCTGATTTTGTGTTTCTTTCAAACCCTCTGTTTTATTTCTGTGGCTCCCTTGTAAATATATACATAATAAAGAAAATGGAGGGAGAAGATTCTTTAAAAGCCTAAAATTCTTGTCTCACGCTTCTAGCTTCTTCATCATGCTGCCTGTGCTGGAAGATGCTACACTTTAGCATCTACTGTATTTTTTACATGCAGCAAAATACATACTGCAAATTTATCACTCTTTGGGCTCAGAATCTTTGCATCTCATTAGGGTAACATTACAAAAGAAGCTCCATAGGGAGGAGATTTAGATTGCTAGATGCTGTGATCAACTATCAAAGTGATGGATGCTGTCAGAAACATAGATGAAGAGAAGACAGTTTAAAGAAAAGGAAAAAGGAGCTTTGTTTCCTGTAATGAATAGATTTTCTTTCCCTATGTAACACCATTGTTTAGCTCTTTCTTTTCCTCTTGCAGAGTGGCTACTTCCAGAATTTTTCTCTCTTTTGATCATAACACTGTGTCCTTTAAAGATCTTTACTTCCTTTCACACTACATAGGCACTGACTGTGCAAACCTCTAATGGCATCCACAGATGTTGTCAATATCTTCTTGCTCTGATTATACCTCTCTGCTCCTTCTCAGGTGTTGGCAGTCCACACTTTCTTTTCCATATCTGCAGTTTCCTTTACTTCCTCTCCTCTGCTTTACTGTTCTCCTTCCCCAGATAGACAAGCTTCTTACTTGCTTTGGCAAAGAACCATTTATGTGGCTGTGCTTTTCTGCATTCCATTTCACCTGCTTCTGTTTTACCCTTTAAAGGATTCCTTTTGACGCGTTCTGACTTAATCCCTTTGACAATTTAAGAGCATTTATGTTTCATTCTTACTCCTCTAAATGACATCGCAATCTTTGCCCTTCTAACAGGGCCACAGTTCATAACTTACAAATGTCTTCCCTGTTACCATCTGATCTCTCCTTTTCATTTCTTATTTCAAGATTTCTTCATGAAAAGTCTTTTTCTTTTCATCTTTAAAAGAATTGCTGGGACTTTTTCAATTATGTCATTGAAATGCTCTTTATTGGCTTCCCTTGAGTATCTGACACAGGCTTTGGGTGGCTGTTATCCCACTCAGTCTTCTAAAGTGCTTCTGGAGCCTTAGATTCCCAAATCTTGGTAGTCCATGCCATAGTCACCCAGTGTGTTCACAGCAAGATTCAGGAAAACAGTGGACAGAACTGTCTTGTGCTTCTCTCCCACTCAGTCATGACCTTTCTCGTCATGAGTGTGATGTCGAGTTGGTCCAGGAAGTGTTGATACTCTAGAGAAAGTAAGGTTCTTTAGCCAGTGTTCCTCAGGCATTTCTGACTGTGATTCATAAGAGGGGGAAACTGAAAGTCTGGGGTGTAGATAGAACAGGTAGAGATGCTTTGTAGTATGCAAATCAGAAGTTCATTGTTTCACTCTAGCTCTAAGCCACCGAATTGCTCCAGATCTCCCTTTTCATCTCAGATATTCATACTTTGGTTACTGACTTTAATGGTTATGGTATCATCGCTAAAATTTTTCTCATGGAAACATTTGTAATTCCTTTGATTTACGGATTTACGATAGAAGTGAAAAGAGAACTGAGGTCATGAAAAACATTTTTCATACAGAAAAATACCATTTCTTTTTTGTTAGCAAGACAGTGACTTGGGTAAACTTTTTTATTATTTCAAACAAACATTGGTTTTGCAAGGTTATTTCCCCCACCTAAAATATCTGAAGTGAAATGAGTTCAACAATTTAGTAGAGCTTTGGACAGAATTTTTCTTGTATATAAGAGATTTTTAAATACATCTTAAGTGTTACTTCCTTGAATACTTGAGTGCTGGCTCCTCTAATTACATAGGGCAAAGCTCTCAAAAGTACATTACTGTGTTATTGGAATGTGTAAATAAATAACAGTGGGTGTTTGGTTTTCTTTTTGTTTCCTACAAACTATAGTGTGTCAGAAGTAGTTGTGTACATTTGACTGCTATTGTGTCAGAGTAAAATGTAACTGAATATTCCCTATGTTAAGTGTTTGCTCCAAAGTTCAATTTTAATGTTAATTGATTTATCATTGAATGACTTCAAGCAACAAGAGCATATGAATCATCTTATAGCCATGGTAACTTTCCACCCATTCCTTGAAAAATCATCCTTCCAAAACAAATACCTGCTGTCTGTCTTGCCTGAAGAAAAAAAAAAGAAAAAAAGAAAAAAAAAAGATGGCTGATACTGTAATTACTGCAATGAGGCATTCAGTGTGATGAGCACTTTACTGTTGTAGCAGGTCAGCTAAAGAGTGATCAGTTAAAGCATGACTGTATCCTTTCATACAGGAAATGGTATATTCTTTAAAATGTTCAACAAATGCAGAGCGTTTTGTTTCAGGTCAACCGTTTGTAAATCCTGATGGGACACCGGCAATATACAATCCTCCCAGTGGCCAGCAGACGATGAGGAGCCAGATGGTGGGACAGTCTCAGCAGCAGCCTTCATCCCAGCAGCCTCAGCAGGTTCAACAACCACAGCAACAAATGGCAAGTCACCTTGTCACACAGGTAGGTGTGGTGGCCATTGGAAAAAAGAAGGAGCTCTCAGGGATATGAAGAATGACCTAAAGGGTAGGAGGTAGGAATGCAGCTAGACAAAAATATCAAGAAGTGCTTTTCAACATGGATTAAAGAGATAGAGAAGATTACTTTTTCAGTTTTATGTAAAGGATGATTTTATTTTCAAAAGTACTGTTAAGCAAGTTGGTATATGTCTACATAAGGTTATTTTGCAAAATTCACCCATAAGTGGAAGCTGAAGCATTCATTCCCAAAGTAGTGCAGCCTGTAATTTTCTCCAGAGTGACCTTTCTCTGTCCCTTTTGACAGCAGTGGGTTTGAGTCAAAGAATCAAGTACAATGAAGGACTCTACAAACTCTTTCATGTCCTGTTGTATTGGGCCCAGTCTATGGGTAACCCGCTCTCCAAGCACCTCTGCCCCAACTTGGTGGTTTTGTGCCTGCACCCCATGTTCTTGCCACTACTCTGCTCTGAGCTAAAAATTCTGGAGCTGTAGCAGGAGAGGGGAAGAGCAGACTGATTTGAGCACAGTGCCATGGAGTGTCAGCTCTCTGGTCCCTGGGCTGGCTGTGGCATGTGGCCAGGTGTAGCCAAGCATGGGCAGCAAGGTTTGGATCTGGTTCAAACTTAATTTTGTGGATTGCATGCCTCTCTCCCCTAGCAGAGCAGGCAGAGGGAACCACTCAAGCAAGAATCCTATATTATGTTTAGTCACAGAGCAGCCAAGATCTACTACAGTTCTTGTACAGCTTTATAATTTGGCACAGTTTCATCCCAGATTACCCAGAAACACAATGTTTAAATTCAGTGAAGTTACTTTGATTTTACTGGATTTGGACTTACATGGTTATGGCTCTTATTTCTTGATCTGGTCCTCACAGTTTTAGAAGATGGGGGTAGTACCAAACGTGTGTACGAAGTTATATGAGAGGTTAAAATGAAAGGAATACTAAAGCTATTCCAAGGTAATAGTGCTGTGGAAAATTGTTTTTTCACTTAGGTAAACATCTGCTCAAAGCTGATGGCCTGTCTGTTAGTAATTCACAGCCTGTTCTTCCTAATTTTTTTAAAAACTCCTGTGTTCTGACAAAGCAGCTTTACAATCATTATTCCTTTGCCTATGACACACTCAGAGTTAAATCAGTCACTAACAGCAAAATTCAAGTACATAGTTATACTGTGCTGCTCTTCCATTTTTATCTCTGTAAATAAAATGTAGAATCATAATTTCGCTTTGGCTCACATTAGTAATAAGAAGATACAGCTTGGCTTTATTTAATCCAACATCCATCAAATATGTGAAAAGAGGCAGAAATATCTGTAATAAAGAATTGTTTGATATAAGGCTAAAGTGAAGTCTAAAATTGCAGTACCTGACCTGTTGTACTTGGTCTAGTGATGAGTCACCTGTATTTTCAGAGCTGTGATTGATACCTTTGTTCTCAATAACAAAGGTGGTGGTGGTGGTTATCTCTCTCTAAATGGTTGAATTTATGTCTTTCATTGTGTTTATTTTGCAGCCTGTTCAGACAATGCAGCCATCTTCTCAGTCAGTCCAATATCCAGCAGTTTCTTATCCTCCCCAGCATCTCCTGCCAGTCTCTCCAACGCAGCAGTTTTCTGTGGTACTAAAGATTTTCTTTTTTCTTTCCTTGAAGCTGGGGATGTGAGCATGACTATGCCCAGGAGCCTCCAGGGAGCACTGCAAGGATGGGTGTCCCACATGAGAACCCTATCTAAATAAATACCTATTTACCTTAATGCTTTTGGTACTGACAAGCATTTTGTAAGAACATTCCCACTGATTCTGGTTAGCTAACCTGAAGGATGTTGCTAGGAGCAGGGCACTCTACATGGTGAGCAGAGCCTCCAGAAAAATATTTTGTTGTGCCTGTGATAAGAGCTTATGTCTTGTCACTTAATGTAAGGGATCTTAAATTGCTAACTCCAGTAGTTGAGATTTAGGTTATCTCTCTTTTATGTCCACAAAGACTGGAGAAGAGACCTCTAGAAATCATTATTTTTTATTTTATATTATTTTATCTGTATACTAAATCCCTTGCCTGGATTTATTCCCTGATGATACCAGGGCACTTGGGAAAGAGGGTAGCAGTGAACCAGCTGCAGAAGGTGTGGTACGCTGTACAGCATGACAATGCACCAATGGACATGTATAATTAAAATAAATAGAGTGCTCTTCTAGAGTCTGATTCTGGCTTGGTGCTTACAGGGCCAAGATTATACTGTTCTGAAATGAAGCTGACATTTTAAGAGGCACTACAAATTTTTTTTGTGTTGTTTTTCTCTCTTGCTCTAGTAATCTTGTTTATGACTGTTTTTTTTTTCCCAAGGTAGAGATGTCATGTAGTTATAGTAAGAGACAGAAACCAAACTGAGTGGATCCTTGCAGATAAAATAGTGTTATTAGTGCCTGGTAGATGAGTGGTACCATTTAAAGGACAATAAAAATTATTCCGTGCTGAACAAAAGTTGCATATCTCACTGCTATTTCTCTTGAAAAGTGTGTTGCAGGAATATCAGGTTGTTCTAGTGTGTGGTGGGTTTGTAGTCATAAGAAGGCTGATATTTTTATTGGCTAATTTAATAGTACAACTTCACCTGAATTAATGTCTTCAATGTACATTACATTATACAAACACTGTATAAATTATCTTGTTTTGAAGCTCTTGTTCTTTATTGGGCAAATCCAAAGCCATTCCTGGCTCAGTGAACTTTCTTCTAGAATCTATTTGCAGTCATTTGCCATTCAGATAACAAATAATCTAGGTTTTTAAAGGAACACCTGCAGACAGACAACTTATGTGCCTGAATATGAATGTAGAATGATAGTAAAGTTAATAGCCTTACTTCCATATACCACTTGATGATCTGTCAGGAGTGTTGATCCATGGTATCTGCTCTCAGAGTTGGGAGGGTGAGTCTCTGTGCAGTCTCTGTCAGTGCTTTCCACAAGCAACCTTTTTTTTCTTTTTACGTATTTTGAAGTTTCCTGACATTAAATGCTTTGTGCTGGATGGTTTTGGAGAATGAACACCACCAGGCTGCAAACAAAACTGGAGTCTCCTTTTAAAAGATAATATGAATGTTCTAAGCAAAATGCATTTTTATAATGCTTATTTCCTATCTGTAATCTCAATATTAGCATGCAATAGAGTTTTATGTTGAGTATTTAAAAGTCTTATGATATGGGCATAAACGAAGATGCCTAGAACCACATTTGTAAATCTTTGACCTTCACAGAATAAACTTGAGATCACTTAATAGTATGACTCTTTTTGCAAGACTGAACAGATTCTGTCCAGAATGCCTGTGTTATTACCAGCATGTAAGGAAACTTAGGTCCATTGACTTTATTTGATACGTTCATCCTACCATAGATTCTTTTTTCCCCCTCCAGTCAAATAAAGTACTTATTTCTTTCCAATGCAGAATAAAAAGCCTTGAAATAGCAACATAAGGCTTAGCTTTTTTTTTAATCTTCTCTGTGTTTACAACCTTGGATTTTCAAAACAGTCCAAAAAGGGAAAGGTCTGCACCTGAATCCTACTGAATTCCTCTTGGGATCAATTTGAAACACAGGTGAAATTACCAGCATGTACTTGGCTGACAAATTCTGTGTTTGGGGATAGAGGTATTCTTAATGTTATTTTCATGCCCTTTGTATTGAAAATGTCTTCTTTTGAACACTGTAAAGTTCACTTGTCATTTTGGAAAAGAAGGTGAGGGGGGCAAGGTAAGAGCCAAAATTGGCTTTTGTGCCAAATAATGCCATTCACCTTGCAGTCTAGAAATATTTGTCAAAGCATTTATAGTGATTTTGATTTTAATTGCCTCTATTTTTGTAGACATCCATGCAAAGTTTGGCATGGATTTGAGCTGAGCAGTTCCTTTTCCCCTCATGCTCTGAACCTATTTTGTTTTGCTAATTTGTGTGTGTACTGCAGACATCATGTCTACATCATTTTCTCCTGCCTTTTGCCCTGCAGCGAGATGACATGACAGCACAGTTTAGCCAGATGAGCTTAAGTCGTCAATCATCAGGAGACAACCCTGAATCGCCTTCTGGTCCTGTCTACCCATCGCCTCTCTTGCAGCAGCCTGCCCAGCAGACAAGTTACATTATGGCTTCCCCAAGTCAACAGCTTCCCCCGGGAAGCTTTACAGGTTCAGGTCCACCAGTATCCCAGCAAGTGCTGCAGCCACCACCACCACCCCAAGGCTTTGTGCAACAACCGCCACCACCTGCTCAGGTAGGCAAAACCTTCCCTACCAGTTTAGCATGGAGCTCTTTGTAACATCAGAAAGAGAACATAAAAATTCGAGATTTCCCCACACACACCCCGATAAGAGCTTAGCAGATTTTTAGGCAGCAGCAAACTTGCAAAGCATCTATCGTTTCCTGGATTTCATTAATCCCTTCCTTATCCTCAAAACATTTTCTGAACATATGTTTGTACTCCAGGACACATCTGCACATGAATATGAAGGAGGAGGGTGAGTAAATATCCATGGTCCTTTTTCTCTGTATATATACCAAAAGAGCAACATGCACATCAACCCAGGTAGTCATTAATCATATTTAATTGACTCGAACATGTGAGATGTCACAGATCAGTAATTTTAACTGTCTTCCTGAAGACTGATTATGTTTTACTGTTCACTACCAAACATCTCTGCTTGTCTCCTGGGTACCTTTACAGAATATTGAAAGTGATTACTGTCAAGAAGTAAAATGCACAGATGACTTTCTGGCCAATTTTCAAGGCATACACATTAAAAAGACAGATTTCTTTATCCAATTATAGATAACTTCGTTTAAACTCTACTTTAAATGGCATTAATAGTATTTCTTCTGGTTTCATTTTGTCCTTTGGAAGAAAATATATAAAAATAAAGTACAAAACTTCACCATTTCTTATAATGTAAATGTATTATAAACCCTGCTAGTTTGGGGTTTTTTTTCTTTGTTTGTTTACTGCTGCTTACTGAAAATCTCCATTTGTGTTTGTTAATGGAATTCTGTATTACCACAGGAATGAAGAATTTTCATTGTTACAATGTTTTAAGTGGCCTAAAGATCTAGTTAATTAGATCACTAATTAATAAAAGAAATCTGAGGACTACTGGATGCTGACATCCCATAGAGGACATACATAGTTTCTGTGGTTAGAAAATATGTGGCTGTTTTTTCTCAGAGAAGGCTTGCCAAGAATATGTTTTAAGGGGCTGAAGTTCAATATAATGTGATTTTTTAAAAAAATGAATATATTACTAGAAAAGATATTTCATAGTTTGCCAAATGTAGTGTTTGTTTTTTTTTTAATTCAGAAAAGAAAAAATGAACTAAAGGGCAGAATTCTCTGGTGTATCTGTCTCTCCACCTAGATTGTGCTCCCTAAGTGAGTAAGTAGAGGCTGTCCAAGCTTCAGTCCTCATGTACAGCCCCCAGGTACTCTTAGTGTTTTCAAACATCGTTTAATCAAACCTCACGACACTTCTAGTGAAGCAGATAAATGCGAGCACCTCCATTTTACGGGTTGTCTCCGCAGCAGGCAAAGTGATGTTTCCCAGCTCTGCCAGCCGGGGTTTGCCAGAAATTATGGGGGCTGCAGCATCGTGCTGCCTGCCATGATAGGGGACCCCAGACCGCCTCCTTACTCCTGTGGGTGAGACCAGGTGTGTGACTCTCCCTGGGATCTCTGCTAGACCCCATATTGGCTGACTTTGTATAGACTGCTTTGGCAGGTTTGCCCACAGCTCCTGCCTCCCTGTGGCTGAGCCTTGGTGTGTGAGCCTTGGATTTCACCCTCGCATGTGCCGCAGGGTGCAGAGTTTTTACTCAGTATGGTGTAGTGTTCCTTGAGGAAGCTGTTTTCCCTCATTAAAACTCGCTTTGGCGCTACTGAGAGGCAGGTTAACTTCTTCAGTGATGAGGAGGTGCCTTTTCATGTACAGGCTGCAGTAGGACTGGTACTGTACTGGTGTGTCTAATGACCACTGTGTCTCTGACTGTAACCCAAATATGGTACTTATGGTTACTTTCCTCCTGTGCAGTAACAAAGTGGAAAGTTACTGAGAGCAGAAAAATATCTTTGTAACAACTTCAGTTATTTCACTGGGGAATGATTTGTCCTTGGGCTATGTAGAAAGGTGAGAAATTCAGCACTGTCATCTTCCTCTGCATCTGCGAACACCATTTATCTCCAGCTTGTTGCTCTTCCAAACAGTCCTTGTCAGATACCTGTGGAAAAGGGGATGGCAGGGTTTAGTCCCTGCTGCCTGTGTCCCTGTCCTGTGAAAGCACAGTGGCCCTGGTCTGCCAGTGGCAGAAGAAGGCAGCCACTTTGCATCCGCATGCACAGAGGGGAAATTCTGAATCGACATTTCAAGTTTTAATTCATTCACTTCAGTCCTAGAATGTGGCCCAGTGGTTTGGATACTAATTGTAGCATACTAATGTATGGAAAATAGGGGATGCCTCTTATAAAAAGATGAATGAATCCTTGGGAAATAGTAGTTCTTCTACCCTGAGAGCTCAGCTTTCTGTGCAGGTGGACTCCTTGTCTTGCCCATGGCACAACTTCACTGTGGCAGTGGCTATTGTCAGTCTGAATCAGCTGTTGTTACTCTTTGGGGCTTAGATGCAATAGTAAGTCTGCTCTCAGACACCAAGGCAGGTGGTCTGAGGCAGGCTTAAAAAAAAAAGGTGCAATAAAGATGGTAATGGAAGCAAAACATTACGTGATACATTAATCAATGCAATGCAATCAATGTAAAAGCACTTTTATATCTTAAATGTTACTATTGAATTTATACCAGTGAAAAAGAGGCATGACGCTAATGACTAATTAGTTCCTGTAAATGCACTGCTGATAAGGCTGGCTGTGATGCTCTGTATGCTGTTGGAAAATAGCAGTGAAAACTTGGGTGGAGGTCCTATGAGTGTGATCTTTTTGTTTGGCAGCTGAAACGAGGAGAAAGAAAGGCTCTCCAAGTCTACAAACACAGTAGTACTACATTTAAATTATTATCTAATCTGTTAAAGTTCAGTTAAATGTGGCTCTGCAGCTACTCTCCAAGATTGTTTCTCCCAGTCTGTATCAATGTAGAGACAGACTGGATTTGAAATGACATGCCTAAGAAGAGGTGAGAGGACCCCTTATGTTTCTTTTGCTTCTTTTCATCACAACTATTCCCTAGTTTGACAACAGTCATGATTTAGTAACCTGAAAATAAGAATCTATCTTTTTTCAGCCAATAGAGAGAAAAAACAAAACAAATCACACCAAAAAACCAAAACCCTGGATTTGCTGAAAGGGACTTTTAGCAGCAAATGACTGTTTGCTTTATATCACGAATTTCAAACATACATCTTTACTTCCTCTGTTTTCGTTTTTCTTCTCTTTCTGGTGTTTCTTCTATAGTGTTTATGGGACCAGACACTTTAGCAAGGGTCCACATTCTGTTTTGCAGTACTCTATCAATGGTGTTTGTCTTTGCCTCTGCAAATGAAGAAATGGAAAAAATGGGAGTACTGTGCCAATGGGAAATGATATCCTCCCTTAAAAGTTATTTTCACCTCTATCTTATTCTTTGGCAAAATGATGTCCAAAAGTGAGATGGCATGAATTCTTGGAGAGGCCTGGAGAGGCCTCAACACATGTTGAGGGATTTTTCACCTGGATTAATTTTGTCATCATTAATTTTAGCTGTCTCTTTGCACAAACCCCTCCTGGAGAGTCTATAGCTACCCTAAGACAAAATCTTTATTCATAGAATGTCTCCTCCATGAAACTTGTTATGAAGAAAGTTGGGAAGTCACTGCAAATGAACAGGTCTTTCCTTGATGATCTCGGAAAATTATATCGGAGTACATCCTAGAGTTATCATACACTAGCCATTATTTTTCATTACTGTTATTGTAAGTATTGGCGGGGGGGAGGAGAGAAAAACCCTTGAAGAATGACAGATCCCAGTCAGTTAGATACTAGGAAGAAATGGTACCTCAAAGTGTCCATACATCACTATGGTTTCTCTTGCCTTCTTCACTCCCATTTATGTAACTGTAGCTGTTGCATTAGCAATAATATCAGCATCATTAATCATCTGGATGAAGGTGTTAATCCAAACCTTACTGGATATCAGCAATTTTAAGAGAAGGTGGAATACCTGTCTGATGACTGAATCAAGATGTAAGTCAGTAGGGAGGTAGTTTATGAAAGTAAAATTATCCTGAGAGGTTTCTGGACTCCTGATCCTACCATGGGAAAATATACCAGTGAATTTCAGGGGTGCTGCTAGAGAGCAGTCCAGGAGACACCCAGCCTCATAATGGGTTTCAAACTGTATGTAGATAGAACAAAATGGAAAACCAGTGCTGTATGGAGTCTCTGCATGTCATCTATAAACAAAGCACATTAGAAGCAGGAAAAAGTAATGTCTGTCTGTGCCATTTCTTGAGTGTCTCTTAAGTGACGTGCCCAGTCCTGTTTAAACTTAACTTAAGTAAAGTACTGAATAGGAGAGAAAAAGTAGAACTTGGTGGAATGATCAACCTATATACAAGGAAGGTATTCACCTTCAAAATAGGAATATCCAAGGTATTGGATATTTAACTCTTTCCATGATAATTATTAAAAAGGAGGGATTTTTCACAGTGTCAAGGATTAAGATCAAGAAACTATGCTTTTAAACTAAAGAAGGTAGCATTTACTTAGATTATGTTCTTAGAAGCACTTTTTTTTTGTAATTTAATTTTATTTTTAGGATAACCATGTATCTCTCTTGGCATGCTTGTTAATGCTATGGAAACTTTCTGATTCTGTAAATGAAGTATGTTTTGCAAGCAAAAGGTCCAAGGTTAGATTGTGCATTTCACGTGGGAAAGCAATTCAAATATAATTTGTCATGTCAGTAGCCCGCTACAGAAATGTAATTTTTTTTTTGTTGAAGAGCACGTAAATAAAGGTGTTAGTAACACTGATATAATGAGAAACTAAAAAAATTCAAGAGGATCACAGTAGATGATGTAAGTGATACATGTTATCGCTGATCCACTAATTCCACTGTTCACTAAAGTAGAATCAGAAAGGACAAATAACATGTTTCAACTACTGACATAGAGATGTACTCAAGATAAATGAAAATGGATCCTTCCAAGCCCCTCAAGCACAAAAGACCTATTTTAGACCATATCTATATTTTATACCAAGCCCTTCTTTTAATGTCTAAGTTCTTTAAAAAAAACAAAACCAAACCAAACAAAAAATCCCCCACAAGCAACAACAACAACAAAAACCCCAAAGCAAAAAAACAAAATCCACCCCACAATATAATGTATCAAAACCCAGACCTCTTCTTTGCAAGTCATGTGTGCATGATTACTGGCAAATAATCCATTAATCTTTATAAATGAAATAATTTTTTTTACCCTTTTACTACTTACATTTTTCATACTGCTAGATTGCACTCTAATAAGCTTCTAAGTGGGTTATATAACAAATGTATTCCAATGAACTGAGAAAATGAGAGAAAGGGAGAAAGCCATTTGACTAACTCTGAGGTGTTATCTGTGGGGTAAAATATTTTTTTTTACGCTCAGCATGTTCAACTATAAACCCCACTTCACAACCTATGTTCTTCAATATTTTAAAGTTAATACCTACAGAATCATTCCCCAAGAGATAATTCTCATTGTTCTCAAATGCTCTTGTATTTTCAAATATCTGGGGGCTTGTCTGCACAAGGAAAGTGAGGAAGCTGAGGGTAAATCAAATAAATTTAAATCCTTTAAGTGAGATTAAGATGCTGGCAGGAAAAGTGAGAGTATTTCCATGGGGGTTTAATATTCTTTAGTTTGTAGAATAGAAAATAAAGAATGTTTGAAAGAATGTCTATTCTGTTCCCCTGCTCCAAGGAAGGATTAACTATTTGCATTGATTTGACTTAGAGTGAGTCTTCTCATTTCTTTCAAGTCTACTGTGGTAAAGTGTTGCTGAAAACAATCATCTCTCCACAAGACGAGTTTATCACACGAAACTCTCCTGATCCACAATTTACACTGCTATGATGTTTAAAGAATGATTTTGCACCTTAAATGTCTGGGTCCACTTTACTGTCCCTTGTGACTTTATTTTGCAGAGAAGCAAATTCATAATGGTGTTGTCCATTCTACAAAAACATTTTGTTTTTGTTACTTTAGTCGCTAACAAAACAAATTACTTGAGTGCAGGCTGTAGCCATTAAGTGTCACTTGGTATTGTCTGGAGAGAGGATAGCTTACAACGTTTTCTGATCGAAACCTTGTTTTTCTCATACTTGTCTGAATCTGGTATTAGCAAAGTGAGGAAAAAAAAAATTCAATTGGTTGAAGAAAAAACTAGCAGACCTTGAAGAAGGAATGGTTATTCAGCCACCTGATTGACAGATGCTGTTGACTGTCAGTTGGTCTAGGGGGTTAACTTTACCAACATCACCAAGTTCAGCTCGGTTAATCCTAATACTTTTCCTGCCACAGTTACCCATTCAGTAGTCTTCTACTTGCCCAAGTAGCCATCCATAGCCTCTTCTTGCCTAGTCTTTTGTGTCTATGCCTTTTTTTCTCATCTGAGATTGTAAAATTTCTGAGGAAAATTTCTAATCTCTCTTATGAGAGGATGTAGGTACCTTTACTTTGCTAACACTTTATGGGTGATCAAGTTGAATGAGCTGTTCGAGGAACATTTCTTCCATGCAAATAGAAGTGGCAAAAATAGTTCTTGGTTTTGTATGAAAAAAATAAAAGCATTTGGTATGATTCTGCGCATATGTCTGAGTAGGATAAATGCTACACAAAAGTGAGAAAAAAATTGAATGACTTTATTAAGAAATGCTGACAGTTGTGGCAGAAGTTGCAAGAGAAGCAACGTTCTTCTGAGCCTGTGCCCCTCTGCAGTCTGTTCATACCGTACACTGCCAAACTCTGTCAGGTGCCCACAGCATCCCTGGCAGCTGAAAACGAAAAATTTTGAGTGTTTTGAACTTGTGAGGGGTCAGTTGAGAACTTTTTAGCTCAAATGTCTCAGTAACAGTGATGTAGCATGCATAGGAAAAATATTTAGCTTCAGTCACCCTCAAACTTGCGTGTTCGCCTATGTGATAAAATGATGTAGTACACGTTGCTCTTTAATGACAATAATAATAGAAAAAAGAAACCCATCTAGCAGAACTTGCTGACTTAATGCCTACCCTTAGCTCCCGCAAGAAAACAACTTTGTTTTTTGAACTCTAACTGTTTTCACACCAAGCACAAGAGAGGCTTGAGAGGGAAATGTTCACGTAAGGAAGGATGTAGCTGTTATCCAGACACGTGAATTTAATGATTGTTTCCTACAGGTGTTTAGGGCACACACATTCCATCTTGGTCTCCATGTCACTTCTAAATATGTTTACTCTAGGCCATTCTTTGCTTCAGATGGACCATTTTCTCCACTGTTCATTTAATGGTTCAACATGCTGTCTGTATGTGTAATGTTGATACAGAAGGTTCTGTTTGCATCCATTTTGCTGCAGCTTTTGATATTGTAGTGTGATAAAAAACTACTGTGGTATTTTTCCTTTGGTATATGTATGTAGCTTTTTATGAATTATGTCTGATTTTTGTCTCTTTCAATTAAAACTCTGTTTTTTCCTGTTTCTTGAATTATCTGAAAAGAAATGTGGGCACCGATACCCCTTTTCCTAGCAAAGCTGGAAGCAAGCGGTGATTCTTGATGAGAGAGACAATGCAAACCACTTCTCTTGATTCGTGTTACCACTAATATATTTGACTCGAACTCTTGCTCCTCTTCCAGTTTTGTTTTATTTTATGAATCTTTGATCTTTAGAGTTTACAGTTATCTGCTGTTCTCTTTCTTTGCAGATGCCAGTGTATTACTACCCATCTGGTCAGTACCCTACCTCAACAACTCAGCAGTACAGACCCATTGCCTCAGTTCAGTACAATGCACAGCGGAGTCAACAGATCCCACAGACTGCACAGCAAGCAGGTATGTACATCTGTTACTCATTTCTTCAGCTGCTTGCAGTACCTTTGCTGGTGAAATCTATTGGTTGTGTTTTAATTGAACAGTGGAGTGGAAAGCTGGTCACTGTTCTGTTTGAAAATACGATGAAAATTACAAATTAGGAAATGTTTTGCTTGGACATACCAAGCAATGGAAGAGCAGAGATTGCGTTCTCCTCCCCTGCTGTCCTCCATGCAGTGCCGTGTCCTCAGTGTCCATGCTTCGTGTGATGGGGCAGAGAGAGGGAACGGGTGTGGGCAGTCACATTGCATGTTCAAGTCAACTGTTGTGGTAGCTCTTCATCGTGGAAACTCCTCAAACGTTTATATGACTCTACATAGCAGACAGGTCTTCAATGATGCAGAAAGGGCCAGTTGTGCTCCACCACCTTCTGCTCTCCCCGAGCGTGAGGAGCGGCAAGATTGTCTGTGTAGTTGGTGCCCATGGGGACCAGCTTCCCACAGCGACATGCGGCTGGAACGGGGGCCGTTACACTGTAAGAGAGTGAGTAGCAGGTCTCACAGTGAACCGGTCTCTTTTCCTGCTGTGTCATGTCACTCCGGATGACTCCAGAGTAAGAGGGACATGGGGAGAACTGGGTTGATGTGTGTCACAGGAGAGCAGGAACTGTGGTATTGAGGGAGTCGCTCTCATTTCAAGGCAATAAACAATTCCAGTGTTGGAGATTTTTTTGAAGTTGTTAAGTGTCTGTTTCTTTATCACATACCTCCCCCTATAGAGTGTCCCAAACAATAACTCCAGGTGTATGGTAGGGGAGGTGAAAGGGAGGGTGTTGCTTTCCCAGTAGGACTTGCAATTACAGACGTGCCAGGTAGGACAAAGCATTCACTGTTTGATCTCAGTTTGGCAGAAACCCTTCTGAATGGCAAAGCAGATTCCCTGCAAAGGCACTGATGTGAAAGTCATTTAAGATGCAAGTCAAGAGCCCAGACATGAGATGTGAGCAGGTCATCCAGCCTGTCAACCTGTCTCCATAATGTGACTGCTGGCAATTTTGTTCCACTCTCTCAGGCACTCAGGGAGACAAAGACACAGCAAACACAGCTCTAACTAAGCAATTGATTACTTTTTTTTATGCTGTTCTGTGTTCTAATAAAATTGGTGACATTTTGGTTGGTGTCAGTGGTGACTGACTGTGTCTGCTTTCATATCTTCATGTTATACATTCCTGAGAGAGAAGAGGGTGAAGTATTGCACAAAGGTCATCTGTCTCTTCTAGCTTCTCCTGCCTGACAGTCTGGTATCATATTTATTATCTCTGTATAGTGGGTCTGTGAACCTAAGTGCAAATCAACTTAGGTGACATTATCTGTATCTACTGTGTTGTTATGAAACCATATTTATCAGTTTAATGCTACATCCATAGCACAGTGGAGATTATGGTAAGTGCAGTCCACAAGAGATGGTCTGAAGCACATGAGTGATGTTCTGGAGAAGATCCAGCTGTTCGATCTTGAGGAAATCGTATTTTAAAGATATATGGTAGCACAGAAGCTCTTGTGTTTGAGTACAGACAATGCAGAGATGCAAATGCTAATTTTGTTTCAGTGTTTACTGCATCGTTTTCCTTACATGTTTGGAAAACATGAGTCAAAGAGTTTGTGTAAAATCTCTAGCGCATCAGTCTTTTCCTGCAATTCGCTCTTTCAGCTGCCTACTCAGTTGGAAGCATTATTTTTATCTCATGTTTAAAAATGAAAACATTGTGACTACTGTTTAGACTCCCTGCCGTGGTGATGATAATAAGTGTTTAGCTATTCTCAGATCTTGAGACTTGGCTGAGAACAATTCCACGAACTGGTTCATCCCTTTGGCCTCAGATGCATCCTTTCCCATAGTCATTGTCCGACCATGTGATATATGTGAGAGGATGAAGCTTGCAGTTTCCTACAGATGGTGTAAGGAACGTTCAGATTTGTGTTCAACTGCAGCCATTGCAATTTGGAAAATAAATAGCTTTCCAATATGTCACAGGAGAATTAAAAGTATAGGAAAGCATACACTACAGATTTCTTGCGGGTGGTGCACTGTGAGCGCTGAGACACCAAAAACCCAAATGATTCAATGATAGTTTCAGATGGTTTCATGCCTGGTATCATCACTGCATCTGCTTTTCTTACCATCAGCCTCCTCACAAACATTCATTTTGTTCCTTATGTACCTCAGCTCACCTGCAAACTCCTCATCTCTTTTGACTCCTCTTAGATGCCCGGTAGCTGCTTGCTGGGCAAGAGATGGTGTTTCACCACCACAGCAGATTGACGGGTGGCACCTAAATGGCAAGTAGCTTCTGGCTCCTGCTGTAGCCTATTGACAGAGGGCAAGTGAGCTGGGTTGCGTCTCTCTTCTTTCAAGACATTGATTTTTACAAACCTGAAGAAATGTCATATCTTTGAAGATTTCATCTCTCCACCAAATGTGATGGAAATTAGAAGATGAACTCAAAATGGTATTCTGAGGGTTGTTTGAGGAAACCTAGCAGAGTAATCACACCAAAAAATCCTTTTAAATCTTTGTAGAGACTTGTATATGACCAGAAAATAGCAATCCACAAGCGTTTCAGAGTGTAATTTTCCTTCCCACACAGACTTAGCTTTAGATCAGCACGTGAGGAGCCAGGGATAACCAGGGACAGGAAAAAGAAGACATGAAGGACAATAGTGCTGGTGAAATAGAGTTCAGGGCAGGAATATTGAAGATGGGAAGAGTGAACAGATGGAAAGGAGGCAGACGAAAAGATGATTTCGGAAATAGTTTCCCCAAAGACCTCACATCACTTGCTGCTGCTTCAGAGAGAGGACAGCTGTGGTGCAGGCAGGCCCATGAGAGCCCCAGCTGGCTGCCTGTACCTGCCAGCTAGCTCATATTGACAGCATGAGCAAGGAAGCAGCTTCAGCCTGGCAGCTCAGAAAACATTTTACTAAAATAAAAAAAGTTTGCCTTCTTGGAAGAGCTTTTGGAAGCTTGCAAAGCAAAGAGTTCAGATCTCACTTTCCCCACTTTGGGATGCAGAGGTCAAAGTTTGATCTAATGCCAGCAATTTGTTTTCATTTTTGTTAGAAAAGGTCTCTTCAGGAGTGAGGCAATATTGATGACTTTTACAGTGAACAGCTAAAGTAAAATGTCAGCACAGCATCTGTAGTGGCTGAGGGAGCCTTTACTCTCTCGTGGTTCTGGAAGCAGAGCAATATTGAGTTTAAATGGCTCCAGGGTAGAAAAAAAGATGAGCTCACCTAAAATTAGATTAGAGCTCTGGCAACAATAAATCATTGGAGAGAAGGTTGAAAACATTTTGTGTGTTTATTTACCTTTTCTATTTCTATTTTTATTTGCTTAAGTGCTGGCTTATATGAGAACCTAAGTGACCCATTTCTGGCAGAAGCCTAGTACAAATAGTGTCATCCATGAAAATTTTATGAAAACCTTTGCCATTTTTGAATTGTGTTCCTTTCTCTTCAAGCCAAAATGTGGTACCTGACCATGTGGTGTCATTGTCTGTAAACAGAAGTAGTTTTGTTTCACTCAGATACATGCCATGGTTGTTCTTCTTCATTACGCTTCTTCTGCACCATTCTTGTGTCCAGTCCTGCTCAATGGAAAGTTTTTAAAAATGTTGCCATTAAGTGGGGCCAGGGTTGAGCTGGTGTCTGTCACACACCATGGCATGTGTAGGACACCGTAAGTGCATTCCTAAGGTGTGTTCAGGCAGGTATTCTCAAAAAGAGTATGCTCATTTTTCAAACATTTAGGTATGTTGCTGTTATTAATTTCTCCACTCTGTAAGAAGTGATACTTGAGATACTGTGAATTCCCCAGTTTTGTAACCTCAGAGAAGAGAATATTATTTCTGTATTTGCATGTAGCAGTATTCTGTAAATTGCACATCCTCAGTTTTTCATTCTTCAGTAATTATCTCCATATTGAGAGTTTTGAAAGCTTTCAATCCTAGTTATTGTGTTTGAATAGAAAAACGGAGGTGTATTGATGATAAATCCATAATTATTTTTATTTTATCATGATAATAGAAATCAACAATGTGTTATTTTATATCTGTGTCTCTATTTTCTTTCATTATAGCAAATGCTGTGCACTTTGAGGATTTTTCATCTCTGAAGTGCTTCAGAAACATGAACTGGATAAATACATGAGTATTACCTTGGGATGTGCAACTGTTCTTACTGCTGTTCACAAATGAACAAGCTGCAACATATTACATGATTTTTTTCCTAGTTTAGTTCATTGTTGTAGGTTCGTGTCATGTTCCAGGTAATTTCGGAGGGCAACAAAACTTTTAAGGATAAAATAGTATTTATATTATTAAAATAATATTTATATTATTATTATCTTGTTTGGGCCTAGTTCTAAAAGACTGTTAGCTTGGTTTATCACACCGTTGTAAGGTAAAAGTCTGTGGTGTGTGTTTTGCATCAGCAATGAAGATCATCGTTTGAGGAGATTAAAGCTAAAATCTGTAGTACTCCTATAGTAAATCTTCCAGCCAAAAGTTTACACTGCAATATTTCCAGACAAAAATAAGATGCTATTTAGCATAATTGGTTGTTCTGTAATTCCTGTAATTAATGTAATGATTTTAGGATTTCTCATGCATTCAAGAATCAACAAATGTTGCCATTATAACCTGTTTCAGTGCCCAGATAGCGTGAAAAGCTCAGACAGCATAGGAAATCTCTGCTTTTTCCTAAAAGCAATATAGTTGTTTTGTGTACAGTAGGCAAACAAAGTCCTTATGTGACAAAAGTATATATCTGAACACTGCCTGGGTGTAGAATCCTTTCTTAATCAGTATGCATGGATCTTCTCTAAGCAGAAAATGTTTGTCTTGAAGGAAAGGTAATATTTCTGATGAACTACTGTATTATTAGCCTTTACAGCTTACAGTAAGATAAAAGAGGTAATTGTCTCTTTAATGCATCTCAGAAGCAAATTTTAAGTGAAGACAA